CATGGTGCGTGCATACCTGATGCAGCTGAGACTTCTTACCAAAGAGCCTTATTTAAAGATAGAATAAGGTCCTTGTCAGTCGCTCAGTCACATCTGACTCCTTGAGAACCCATGGACTGAAGCCCACCAGGCTTCTCTGTCCATGGCCTTATCCAGGCAGGAATACTGGAGTGGGTTGCCATTCCCTTCTCCAGGGGATCTTCTCGACCCAGGGATTGAACCTGGGTCTCCTGCATTGCAGGGGGATTCTTTACCATCTGAGCCACCAGGGAAGCCCCAGGGAAAGTCCTTCAGTTCAGTTCAGTCGCTCAGTCGTGTCTGACTCTTTGCGACCCCATGAATCCCAGCACGCCAGGCCTCCCCGTCCATCACCAACTCCCGGAGTTTACTCAAACTCATGCCCGTCGAGTCGGTGATGCCATCCAGCCATCTCATCCTCTGTCGTCCCCTTCTTCTCCTGCCCCTAATCCCTCCCTGCATCAGGGTCTTTTCCAATGAGTCAACTCTTCGCATCAGGTGGCCAAAGTATTGGAGTTTCAGCTTCAGCATCAGTCCTTCCAATGAACACCCAGGACTGATCTCCTTTAGGATGGACTGGTTGGATCTCCTTGCAGTCCAAGGGATAGGGTGATCTTATTCTCACATCTCCATACGCCACCATAGCACAGCCAGGAGTTCATCATGATGAAAAGTTTCATCTGTCCTCTAAACCCATTGTCCTTCTCCATGATCCTGATGTACATAGCATCCTTTATCATAAAACTGGCTCATACAGACTATTCCAAATTTTCAGCTGAAAACCAAATAGGTGGTTTTAAGAATTTGATCACATGGCCAGCCTGTTGGTCAGCTGAGAGTACCAGTTCCAGTTAGGCCTAATGCCCCTTCTCTTGTCTTGTGACTATTTCTTTGCATCTAAAGATCCACAGATCCAGTTTAAATTGCCAGCCGTCAGGGTCAGTCGCTCCATATAACTCAAGCCAACCCACATCTGCTGCAAAGACAAGTTAATAGACCTCAGAATCGCACACCAAGTCTTCCTAAGGCGGCAAAGGCAATGTGAGCTCTCCACCGTATTGTCGCCCCTGAGTTTCTAGTATGCCTTGGCATGTTTTGCTGAGTACTCACAGAAGGGTGGTTATGGTCCAGACCTTCTGCTTGCTGCCCTCATTAAAGGAAGCCGAGTGATGAGCCAGTCCTCACGCGAGAAGGCAGGGCACATTTCATCTCATGGGCCTAGTCCACCCAACAGAGATAAGACTATAGGTCCTTACAGTGTGGTAGATGACCTGACTTGAAAGTCCTCTGTTAAAACAGGTAGCAAATGTAAGATAAGATAGAGCAAGCGCAAAGGCAGAGTGGAACCAGCAAAAGAAAAAAAAAAAAGTTAGAATATTGCCAAGGGACAAAAACAAGAGGAGAGCTGGAAACCAAAACAGTAAGGACAAGAGCCACTACCGTTACAGCTGAGCTTCAGGCTGTCTCGGGACCCACCCCTGAGAAAGATGTTCTTACGCCTTTGCCTGGAAACATCCATTCAAGTTAACCTGCTTTGTTTGTCCCCCAAGAGCTATGCCAACAAACTTATTTTAAACTGCTCCATAATCCTCGCAAGTAATTTCACTCATGCTTGTGGATACCAGTCTTTTTCATGAAGGGTGAGGGGCTTGGCATGTTGACATAGCAACTTAACCAGCTCAGCAGATTAGACCGATGCTCCCTGCTCCTCTCTGCTCACTGACCTGGCACCCTCACCACTCCAGCTGTCTCAGATACTTGCTTAACAAGGAGGGGACTTTTGTTTCTGTTCCCATACCTAATGCCGGCTATACTCAGCTTTATATATTTATACTTTTAATATTAAGGAAATAGGTGAGTGTGAAAAGAAAGAGAACTGTTGATTCTGTGCGACTTGAGTTCTGTGCTTTCCAAAGGATTAAGAGATGATGTATCCACAAAGATGTGTGAGCTAAACAGCACAGCAGACCTGGTTTGAATTTCACATCTGCAATTTCTTATGAGTGCTTAGGTAAGTCATGAAGCTTCTCTAGTCCTCGGTTTCCTCATCAGAAAATAGGGGTGATAATCATTCTGTCTTGCTCCTGAAGTTTTTGTGAGAATTAAATGAGATAATGTTAGGGCAGCCCATGGCACTGTGTCAGATACCACACCAGTGCTGTATAAATCGTAGCCGTTAAGATTCCACTATTGAGAGTTTCAGAAAGGTTCACTTCTCACCTTGCTATCTTTTAAGACCGCTCTGGATGTCTTCTAGAACCCAGCCCCATAACTTCTCTAATGTTTGTTTGTTCATTCGGCCGTGCCAGGCCGTGGTTGCAGCATGTGGAATCTTTAGCTGCGGGAAGCAAACTCTTCGTTGCGGCATGTGGGCCCTCATTGCCTAACTAGGGATCGAACCCAGGCCCGCTGCCCTGGGAGCAGGGCGTCTCAGTCACTGGGCTACTAGGGAATCCCACCAACTCCACAATTCTTTACTAATTCGGCTGCGTTAGTGATGTCTGTGCTGGTTTGCCAGTGTTGCTACAACAAAATACTGAAGACCCGAGTGGCTTCAGCGACAGAAGTTTGTTTTCTGACAGTTCTGGAGGCTGAAAGCCCAGGATCAAGGTGTCAGGCGGTTGGGTTTCTCTGAGGACGCTCTGCTTGGCTCACCTTCCTGCTGTGTGCTCATGTGATCGCTTCTCTGTGGGCACGCGTGCCTCTGGACTCCTCATCTCAGAAGGACTCCACTCTGGCCGCATTAGAGCCCATCCTTGTGACCTCATTTGAACTCACCCATCACTTTAAAGTGGGCTCCCCTGGTGGCTCAGATGGTAAAGAGTCTGCCTGCAGTGCAGGAGACCCGGGTTCAATCCCTGGGTGGGGGAGATCCCCTGGAGAAGGGAATGGCAACCTACTGCAGTATTCGAGAACTCCATGGACAGAGGAGCTCGGCAGGCTGCTGTCCGTGGGGTCACAGATAAGGCACAATTGAGTGACACTTTAAAGACTGTATCTAAATACAGCCTCATTCTGAGGCACTGGGGCTGGGCTGCCACGTGAATTGGGGGTTGGGGGACGCGAACACTGTCTCACCTGTGACGCCACAAATAAATTATTTTCCACTGCGTTTGCAAATAACCATTTTTGAGAATTCCCTAGTGTCCAGTGGTCAGGGCTCCACACGTCCAGAGAAGGGGCCACTGGTTTGATCCCTGGTCTGGGAACTAAGATCCCGCAAGCTGTGGTGTGGCTAAAAATAAAACAAACAAAAAGAAAAGAATGATTTTCAAGAACAATGGCCTGAATGGAAAGTATGGTTGAGGAATTTTACGGTGTCTTCTCGCCACTAAACTGCAGTGACTTTGCAAAGGTCTCCATATATAGCTTATATAGCATGTTAATTTATTGTGTGTAAAAATATTTAAGAGGTCCAGTTTAAGGCCTTATACTTGATATGTAATATTTTAAAAATATCTCTGATAATAGGCAGCACATATTTTTAAAAACACATGGCTGTTGAAAAATACCTTTTGGTGTCATTCATTGAACTGGGAGTTAGGGAACTTGTACATGTGTACCATAGGATATGTAAAATAAAATATGTATTAACTGGACACCGGTTCAGGTAAAGCACTAGGTCAAAGGTTAGGGGACAGACCTAGAAAACTCCCTGCTCTCTGCTTAAGAAAGTGCCAGGAAAAAAAAAAAAAAGAACGTGCCAGAAATGTCCCCAAGTGAGTTCACTTGTCCCCAGGTGAGTTGCCAGTTAAATGCTTGGTGTAGATAATGAGGCTTGCATGTTCACGATTGCCTCTGAAGCCCAGAGTTAGGATTTTGAACTTGTGCTAGTTAGCTGTCATAAAACTGGGAGAAAGGGACGTGGTATAATCAGAAAAAACAGCCCCCTAGGTAGCTCACTGCAGCACTCCAGACAAGTGGAAGGAGAGAGACCCATGAGCAAGTACTGTGATAGCAGAGTGACATTAAAGAAAGGCACTCTGCCAGAAAACAAACTTAGAGTTACCAGAGGGAAAAGTGAAGAGGAAGGGATAAATCAGGAGTGTGAGGTTAATAGATACAAACTACTATACATAAAATAGATGTGCATCTACTGTATACCACAGGAAACTCTATTCAATATCTTGTAATAACCTATAATGGAAAATTATTTAAATATATGTACATACGGGCTTCCCCAGTTGCTCAGCAATAAAGAATCCACCTGCACACTGCTTACAATAGCCAGCACATGGAAGCAACCCAGATGTCCACTGGCAGACAAGTGGATAAGGATGTGGTAGTATAAATACACAATGGAATATCACTCAGCTATAAAGAAGAACATAATTGAATCAGTTCTAATGAGGTGGATGAAACTGGAGCCTATTATACTGAGTGAAGTAAGTCAGAAAAAGAAACACCAATACAGTGTATTAATGCATATGTATGGAATTTAGAAAGACAGTAATGTCGACCTTATATGCAAGACAGCAAAAGAGACACAGATGTAAAGAATAGACTTTTGGACTGTGTGGGAGAAGGCAAGGGTGGGATGATTTGAGAGAATAGCATTGAAACATGTGTATTACCATATGTGAAATAGATGTCTAGTGCAAGTTCGATGCATGAAGCAGCACTCAAAGCCGGTGCTCTGGGACACCCCAGAGGGATGGGGTGGGGAGGGAGGTGGGAGGGGGGTTCAGGATGGGGGGGACATGTGCACCCATGTGTGATTCATGTCGATGTATGGCAAAAACCACCACAATATTGTAAAGAAATTATCCTCCAATTCAAATAAATAAATGAAGTTAAAAAAAAAGAATCCGCCTGCAATGCAGGAGACCCTGGTTCGATCCCTGGGTTGGGAAGATCCCCTGGAGAAGGAAATGGCAACCCACTCCAATATTTTTACCTGGAAAATCCTGTGGCAGAGGAGCCTGGGGGGATGCGATCCTTAGGGTCACAGAAGGTCAGGCATGACTGAAGCGACTGAGCATGCACACATGCATACATGCACATATAATACATTCATACATATACATACATCCATATATAAGGAGTTGGAAACTTTTGCTGTATGCTTGAAACTAACATAAATCAACTATACTTCAATTACAGAAAAAGGAAGGGTGCTCTGAGAAGGATCTGACCAAGAGTAGTTTCAAAGAATTCCACAAACCTCTGGTTTGAGACTAGAAGGTTTGCAAGAAAAACTTTCATTTACGAAAGGTTACTTATTCCCCACCCAAAGAATATTTTGATTTCTGTTAAATAATCACCAGGACAAATAGGATTGAAATGTAACCGGAGAAAATTCCTTGTTTAATGTGTGTCTTTTTTTCAGGCCTCTTTTTCGTGGAAGTTCAGATGTCGACCAACTAGGAAAAATCTTGGAGTAAGTAGCACCTGTGATTTTACATCGTGTCTGTAGCATTAGAACGTTTACGGTGACCTTCCTCTGACGTTCATATAATACGTTTATCTCTTGTCTCTCCTACCCCAAGCCGCTGCTGCAGACACTGTTACTATTTGTGTGGTGAGTGGGGACGTGGCAGACGTGCCGTTTCGTGCAGAGCCCGTCATGACATGCGGCCCGACTGCTCTGCCCTGGAAGCTTGCGTATTGCTCGTGTGGCTCTCTGGGCAGCTCCCCTTCGCTTGGCCGAGCTCCTGTTCTTTAGTTCTATTGTGTTGTCTGCTTGGGGTCTTTTCAGATGCTTCCACCATCAGAGGGTGGCGCGCTCAGTGGCCTGAGAACCCATCCTTATTCACTGGGCTTCGTGTCCCCACTGAACATCCTGTAATCAACCAGGTTGGCTTTACATTGTTTGGTTTTGTCTTCCTGGGCAAAGGGTGGTCTGCTACTTAATTGATTTTTCTTTGGAACACTGAAAAAGGAAATGAGAATCCTAGGTTCCATTCCTCTGTCTGTGGCTAAAGAGCTATGCAGTCTTGAGAGGGTCACTTCGAACACTGATGCCCGGTGTTACGTAATAAATGTTTGTAAGAATGCTGGCTCTTACTGTAATTCGTCATTAATTGTTTCATCTTTTTGTTCTTCTTCACCTGAGAAGTGACACTTAAAGGTCCTCCCTTGTGCTCGAACTCTTTGGTTCCATTTGTCTGTGACGTAGCTCCTTGACGATTTTCAGAGTTCCGTTAAGAGTCTGCGTGTTTGTGCATGTGAGGCTGTGGGTGCTTCTGTGTGTCTAGAATGTGAAGAAGAGGCTTTTCTTCTCACAGAGCATGCAGTAGGGCATCCTGTGGGGATTCTGTGTGTTTGCCAAACTCCATAGGATTGGAGTGGCAAGAAAAGAAATGGGAGTTCTAGAACCAAAAATAGCTCCAGTCATTGGTCTGTTCCATTTGATAGGAATCCCAGTGATTATTATGATATTCAGGCTGCAAAACTGATGAAAAGTCCCCCTAAAGAAAAGCATTATATTTTAGCACTGTCCTCTCATGCATAGCTGCTGAAGACAGTTGGGATAAAACGGGAGCCTGAGTTTGTTCTTTTGGCTACTAGAAGCAGCTGCAGCAGGCTTCTGTGAGTGCCAGCATCACTGCTGAGTGTCAGACCCAGTGGCTTTCAGGCCTGAAAAAAACATGTGCTCCTTTTACTGTCTGGGGGCTTCCCAGGTCTAGGACAGGTACCACAGTGACTGCTCCTGCCGCTGCTGCTGTCCACTCTGTAGGATGGACGAACTCAGGACCAAACTTGCACGTGACTCTGCTTCTGGGTGTCAGGTTCTCTGATCATTCAGGGATGAACTCCCATCTGTTCTTGCCTCTCCCTGTTGAGTATGTTTTGTGTGCATGTGATCGTGAAGAGGCAACCGTGAGAGTCAGGCCTACCTGTGACCCTCCTGTTAAAAGTAAGAACACTCTTGACTGAAGCCAGCTTATCAGACACTGAGGTCTCCGCCTGCTTTTTCTACCTGACCCCATCTGGGTGTTCTCTCTGACTCCAGCGCCCTTCTTAACACTGCTGGTGCCCCAAATGCGTGAAGCCCATGAGATGGACCAGAAGGAACCTTTGACAAACACATTTGACTTGCTTCCAAGGGAAGCCAGTTCCACTTCTGGAAAAGGCCTGAGATCCTAGGTTGCCAGCAGAAAAGAAGCCATGAAGCTCGATAGGTTTTGTGCCTTTAGATTTTACTTCTTGATTTCTGGCCTTGTGTCACTGTAATTTTGTTCCGTTTCCTCCGAGCGCTTTCATTACTTTGGCGTAGAGAAAAGGGACAATGCTGCACCCTAGTGTCCCATTGAAGTACTTGAAAAATAATTTCTGTCCCAGCCATTCATGCCATTGTGGACTTCCTTTGGAGCTCAGCTGGTAAAGAATCCACCTGCAATGCAGTAGACCTGGGTTTGATCCCTGGGTTGGGAAGATCCCCTGGAGAAGGGAAAGGCTACCCACTCCAGTATTCTGGCCTGGAGAATTCCATGGACTGTATACATGGGGTCGCAAAGAGCTGGACACAACTGAGTGACTTTCACTTTTACAGGTTCTGTGCTCTTTCCAATACAAATGGCAACTTGTAAGGCTTATATTCAGCTTGATCCAAATACTGAAATTCGATGCAAGCCCTTTTGAATGGACCTATTAGAATTTCACAACACTCCTGTATGGATCATAAAAGTTCATAATAGATATTAAACTGAATATATTTTAAAGGGAAGTCGTATTCACAGTCTCTTAAGGGGAAAATTCTTTCTGTGTTTAGGAAGATTTATACTTTCAAAGGACAGCAAGTACTTTGAAAGTGAAACTGAGTGCTTTCAGTCCATGACATTTTAGAGCATTTTTAAGAGCAGAGTCATAGTAAAATGGAAATAAAATACTGGACTTGGAGTAAGCTCTCTCCAGCCTCTGGGCTGAACTCTATGTGTGTGGCTTTGACAGTTCATTTTATTCCTCATCTTAAGTTTCCCCACCTATATAATGAAAATAATAATAGCTAAGCTATATGTCTCAGGAGGCGGTAGATTTTAAAACACTTTTAAAATTTATTTATATACATACAGGGACACTGTCTTTCTGAGAACTTTTGGTATTCAGCTGCCAACATTGCCAGACTTAATATAAATATATTCAAAACTGCAAATAAAAAGAGATTTTCAATTTGCACTGAGTTGTTATAACTGATTTCTAGGTAACTGGTAACAGTACACAAAAATATTGATATAAAAATGACCAGAAAGCCGAAAATGAAAGAAAGACAATTTTTAAAGTTGTTTAGTAAACATTCTTCTGTTCTTCCTCTGCCTGTCCCATCCTGTCCAAACATACACAAATCTTTTTTTACGTAATTAATGGTAACGTTTCCTCTTTCTTCTTTTTATTCTTATTCTAGATCTTGCTGCTAAACAAGTCTGTGTGTTGCTCAGGCTCTCATTTCCCGTCACTTGTTTCCGTGTGTCTGTGAGTCTGTCTTTATCTCGCTCAGCAACCCGGCTCTCCCTGCATGTCTGACACAGGGAGGATAGCAGTGTCTCTCCAGACACCCCTGTGGCAGGTGTCTGCTCTTCCCAGGTGAGATCTGTGGCCTGGGCTCTGTCGAGGTAAGAGGAGGGGAACAAAGTCCTGCAGAAATCTTGTGAAATGTACCACTACCTGTTCCTACGCCCTGGAGACCCACTCGGGAGAACACCCCAACACACCACCACCCAGGCCTGTCAGTCCTGGCAAGTACTGGCCAAGGAGACTATAATGCAGGGCAGCACCATTTCTACCTGTAGTCAAGAGTTCGCTCAATATGTGAATAGCCATGCATTCTGTCCGCTAAACTCTAATATTTCTTGTGGTTGTTGTTTAGTCGCTAAGTTGTATCCGACTCTCTGCGACCCCATGGACTATAGCCCACCAGGCTCCTCTGTCCATGAGATTTCCCAGGGAAGGATGCTGGAGCGGGTTGCCATTTCCTTCTCCAGGGGATCTTCCCGACCCAGAGACTGAACGGCATCTCTTGCATCTCCTGCCATTGGCAGGCAGATTCTTTACCACTGCACCAACCAGGGTTCAGATTTAATCAGAGTCTATATGAGATATAAGTTCTTGCTTCCCCTGAATTTCCTTGTTCAAACCTACTTACTACCTGTATATGTAAAGTTATAAGAAACATCTACATAATGTATAAGTTGTGTAAGGCCCCAGGCCTACTAATAGTTCTGAAGAACCTTAAGTCACACACCCGTAGAACTCGTCAGTTGATATTTTCAGTGAGTTGGTGATGCATTGCCTGCACATTTTAGATTAATAATGTTATTTCCCTCTTATGATACTAATGGGTAATGCATTGATATTGATATGCATTGATATGCAGTACACTGATCTTGATATTGACAGATCCTGTGTGCCAGGCACTGTGCTGTGCATTTTATAGAAATCATTGCTGATCCTTAACACCACAAATTATCATCCTTGTCATATAAATAAAAGTTAAATAATTTGTTCTTACCTACCAATAAGGCAAGTTCAGGATTTGAACCCAGTTCTGCCTGTTTCTAAAGCATGTGCTGTTTTTATATCACTTAGTTCTTTCTCTGCATTTCTGATCCTAGGATGAGTCTCAGAGGAGACAAAAGATAATGGGTTTTTTTATGAATTGTATGATCACTTTGAAATACAAAAAAATGATTATATAAAATATGTAAATAAGTTAAATTTGTAATATGTAATAAGTTAAATTTGATATTAAATGATAAAATAGTGTTTGTGTTATACAGAACTAACATACCTTTTAGCCTCATTTGGGGGGTCTGACTCTATGTAATTTCTGTTTGGGGACTCATTCTTTAACCCAAAATGCAACTCAGTTTACGTGTCAACAAATCATGTTAGATGAGCATCCTAAAAGCGTGTCAATCCAGCAGTGTTTGATCAGGACACAAAAAGCGTACAGGAAAACATGATGTGTCCATGCGGGTCTCCTTTGAGTATATAGATCCTGGTCTGACAGTGTTTCGGGGCTTATTGCTAATAGTTTCCATTTCTGCATGATCTCTTACGTTTCGCAGCTGCTGCCAGAGTGATTACATTTCTCTCTTCCCAGTGGCTCTTTATAATTCTCCTGTGAGACTGCCCTCCACCCCAGGATCACCATGTTGCAGCAGGACAGAGAAGAGTCCTGCCGGCCATACAAGTGGTGGACTCCCGGGGCTCCGTGTTCCCCCAGGCCCCTCCCGTAGACTTCACCTTCTTCTGGAATTGGTAGAAAAGTCGCTTCAGCACAATAGCTCATGCTTACATTCACCTGTGGTTCTTTTGTAGCGTAATTGGACTCCCGGGAGAAGAGGACTGGCCTAGAGATGTTGCCCTACCCAGGCAGGCTTTTCACTCAAAATCTCCTCAACCAATTGAGAAGTTTGTAACAGACATTGATGAACAAGGCAAAGACCTACTTCTGGTAAGTTCACACGATGCAGCGTTGGTCTTCTCTGCGCTCATGAATAGAATTCATCAGCTAATATTTTTAGTGTGCTGGTGATGCACTGCCTACACATTTTAGATTAATGATGTTACTTCCCTCTTATGATGATAATGGGTAATGCATTGATATTGATACGCATTGATATTGCATTGATATGCAGTGAATTGTTATTGCTACTGACAAGTCCTGTGTCCACACTGGGCGCTGGGCACAGCATCAGTTCAGCCTCACATGCCACAAGCTCACAGGACAGAGCTTTCATTCCTACCCCTATGGTGGTAGTGACTTTTGATTCTGCAGTGTCTTCAGGTCCTATAGAAAGGAAAAGAGTCTGATTCACACACTTTCATTCTGCCATTTTTTAATGTTCTTTTGAATGCAGCCTTAGAATCCTCTGGATTCGTCTAAACATATGCTTCAGTAGAAGTAAATATTATGTTTCCTTGTTTACACTTTCCTGCTACTTTAAGCAGCTTGTTTGGCATTTTAAATGTGTCTTTTCTTAAACAGGCACATCTTGAGGAAGATCTTTTTCCAAAGGAACCAAATAGCAAGACTCCTTCCAGTTACTGATTTATTTAAGAAGTATTGAACGTGCCCTGACATATAAAATACCTCACCAAAAACAAAGATCTGTGCCCTGTTTGAGACTCAAACTCATATACTTGGCTTTGCACATAATTCCCTGTACTTGGAGAGTAGGGCAGAGTAGAAAAATGTACCTACTGGACTTCTCCTGGTGTCTGGAACCCAGTGAGTAGTAATGAGTGTATTCTTTACCAGCCAAATGAACAACCTTTGATATCTAGCCAAGAAAGTGCTCCTAGACTCAGAGGAGCCAGTGCTCCCATTCTGTCAGTGTATTACAAATTTTAGATACAGACCTAAGAGTCTATAAGTCCGAGTAGAAATGTTATGCTTCAGCTCTGTATGGACGCAGCCACTGATTGGCCTGCTTGCAGAACCATGGACTTTTCCCAGTGAAAGCCCTAACTCCATCTTCACCTGATGGTGGCTCATTTCCTGATGGTTAGGCAAAAGTTCCCTCCACTTCCACATTACAGATGAGGACAGCCCTATACCCTCCCTGCTGTTTCTTTGTAAGACACTTAGGACCTTGGCCCGCATCCTTTGAGATAGATTAATTAGAGAGAACATTCACCTAGACAAAGGGGCTCACTGCATACTGTATACACAGCCAATGGTTTACCTGCTATCGAGGAAATTTCTTCCTTGATTTTCTCTTACATTTCACAGCTCATTTGGGGGGGTCTGACTCTAATCTTATGTAATTATTGTTTGGGGAATCTTTCTTTAACCCAAAACGCGACCAAACATGTATTTGCATTACCTTAAGAAAAGGAGATTTGATGGATGGCTTCCGGTGGCCTGCAGGTGGAGAGCCATCCAGAGTATGTCACTGTTCTGCGCGTCACCTTCTCTTACCAGTTCCGCTTGTCCCTGCCATTTACTCCTCCTCATTGCTTCTTGTCAGTTCTACTGTCTGTTCCTCTTAACATCAGCTGGCCCCTTGACTACCAGCACTTCAACTAATTCACGCATCCTTTCAGCTCCAGTCCCTCTGCTAGCATTTGCCCTGTCTCTGTTTCCTTCATCTGATTCTTACAAAGAGGAATCTGGCTGGCACACCTCACCCTTTTGCTGCCAAACCATGGTATGGGTCGGTACTTAAGGCCAAGCTGCACTCCTGGCCCAATCAGCTATGCTGGGAGGGGGTGAGGACTCCCGGATATAAAATATATCAGGCCACCATAGGCTTTCCTTTTCAGCAGGAACTTTGAATGAAATGTTTCTCTTAGTAGAGGGTTCTGGGTAGAGAGTCGCAATGATGAACAACTTTAAGTAGAGTAACCCATGCTTTCAGCTACTGGAACATCCAAAGACAGCCCCAAAGATTTCCTGGGCCCAGCATCAGTAGGAATCACCGAGAGGAGCTTAAAATGTGAAGAGAACAGACAGTCCCCTGTGTTCATTCAGGTCCCCTGAGAGTAGTGGTGGCTTTCAAAGCCAGACTACACATGAGAAGCAGCAGGAGACAGAAAACGAAAAAGGAGCAAAGAAACCTACCGAAGCGAGAAGGAAGTCGGTAGATAAGGAGTGGCAGCAGAGACTAGAAAAGCAAAGGAGAGGAATAAAAAGCAGAGCTCAGACTCCCCTGGTGGTCCAGTGGTTAGGAATCTGCCCATCAGTTCAGGGGGACACGGGTTCGATCCCTAGTCTGGGAAGATCACTCAAGCCACAGAGCAACTAAGCCTGTGTGCCACAACTACAAAGCCTCCATGCTCCACAGCCGGAGAGGCCACCACGATGAGCAGCCTGCGCACGACAACTGGAGAAAACCGCACACAGCAGCAGAGACCCAGCACAGCCAACAGTCAATTTAAAAAAATGTAAAAAGCAGAGCCAGGAGCATCATGACCAGCTAAGGGTTAAACATGAAGCATGATATGCACAGACATTAGGGAAAGGACTGTCCAAGACCTTAAACCTCAGAACTATCTAAAAGCTCTCACTGTTTCATCTTAGAGGGACGCGAGTTAGAACTGTAAAGCTGAGAAAACAGGCCATTCAGTATAAGAGAGGCCCCTGCGACCCTCAAAGTGCTGTTCCTCCGTTGAAGATGTTTTACTGAGGAGGGCGAGGGAAAGGAAAATTGGTGACAATTAACATTTAAAAATTTAACGCTTTAAGAGTAATCCTTCATTTCCAATGTTCCTCTTAACATCAGCTGGCCCCTTGACTACCAGCACTTCAACTAATTCACGCATCCTTTCAGCTCCAGTCCCTCTGCTAGCATTTGCCCTGTCTCTGTTTCCTTCATCTGATTCTTACAAAGAGGAATCTGGCTGGCACACCTCACCCTTTTGCTGCCAAACCATGGTGTGGGTCGGTACTTAAGGCCAAGCTGCACTCCTGGCCCAATCAGCTGTGCTGGGAGGGGGTGAGGACTCCCTGATATAAAATATATCAGGCCACCATAGGCTTTCCTTTTCAGCAGGAACTTTGAATGAAATGTTTCTCTTAGTAGAGGGTTCTGGGTAGAGAGTCGCAATGATGAACAACTTTAAGTAGAGTAACCCATGCTTTCAGCTACTGGAACATCCAAAGACAGCCCCAAAGATTTCCTGGGCCCAGCATCAGTAGGAATCACCGAGAGGAGCTTAAAATGTGAAGAGAACAGACAGTCCCCTGTGTTCATTCAGGTCCCCTGAGAGTAGTGGTGGCTTTCAAAGCCAGACTACACATGAGAAGCAGCAGGAGACAGAAAACGAAAAAGGAGCAAAGAAACCTACCGAAGCGAGAAGGAAGTCGGTAGATAAGGAGTGGCAGCAGAGACTAGAAAAGCAAAGGAGAGGAATAAAAAGCAGAGCTCAGACTCCCCTGGTGGTCCAGTGGTTAGGAATCTGCCCATCAGTTCAGGGGGACACGGGTTCGATCCCTAGTCTGGGAAGATCACTCAAGCCACAGAGCAACTAAGCCTGTGTGCCACAACTACAAAGCCTCCATGCTCCACAGCCGGAGAGGCCACCACGATGAGCAGCCTGCGCACGACAACTGGAGAAAACCGCACACAGCAGCAGAGACCCAGCACAGCCAACAGTCAATTTAAAAAAATGTAAAAAGCAGAGCCAGGAGCATCATGACCAGCTAAGGGTTAAGCATGAAGCATGATATGCACAGACATTAGGGAAAGGACTGTCCAAGACCTTAAACCTCAGAACTATCTAAAAGCTCTCACTGTTTCATCTTAGAGGGACGCGAGTTAGAACTGTAAAGCTGAGAAAACAGGCCATTCAGTATAAGAGAGGCCCCTGCGACCCTCAAAGTGCTGTTCCTCCGTTGAAGATGTTTTACTGAGGAGGGCGAGGGAAAGGAAAATTGGTGACAATTAACATTTAAAAATTTAACGCTTTAAGAGTAATCCTTCATTTCCATCTGAAAAAAAGTCGACTTTATATAATGCTTAAGTCATACGTGTATGGATATATATACATCCACAGTTATGAACACTCTTATGTAAATCTATAAGGAAAGTAGTGTGCAGTAACAAGACACTTCAGGGGAAGAATTATTTTTAGCAACCCAAACCTACATATCTTTACAACTTTGGCCCTGTTCAACGTGATTAACTTTGGAGGCTGGGTACATCCTCCAGACATGATGCTCTTGTAGAAAAGAAGTTTTGGAGTTCTTGCTATCTAACTGCTTTCAGAGCCTGAGGTAGTACCTTTTTTTTTTTGGATACTTGTATTCGTCTGCTTCTGCTGCATAACAAACAACCGAAAGAAATATCTGACGAGCATCCAGCAGTAATCCTTTGTCTCTTGCTCTTGGGTCTGCACGTTGGCAGAGACAGCTCTGTGAGTCATCTGAAACAACTCTTCTTCAGCCAGTAGGTCAAGCACTGGTCTTGCCCATGTGTCGCCTTCTGGGACCCAGGCCAAAGGGACTTTGGCTCCCTGGGGCATGTTTTTCTCATCATAGAAGGAAGGTGGGTCCTCCCAGAAGGGCAGGCAGAAATATACGATGCCCCTAACAGCCTAGGTAGGCTTGGAAAAGGTACCCTACTATTTCTGTCTGTGTTCCATTGGCCGATGAAAATTACACGGCCAAGGCCGACTCTAATAGAACAAATACTCCCCCAATGGAGGCAGAGAAGAAGGAAAGAAAGGAAATTTGTGTTGGAAAGTGATCCAGATCCACTGTAGTAGTCAAGTAGCCATTCCAAAAGCTCATTTTAAGTCAATTATTTGGCAAGCAAATTATATTTTTCTGCAGAAACAACATTATTATGCAAGACTTTGAAATTAATTCTCAAAATAGCCAGTTGCTCTGGTGAAGCAGAGCAATAATAAGACTCGAGCACTTTTTCTAACAGTATTTCTGTAGGACAAAATGTGTTACAACCTCCAGCTTGAGATTCTCACACACACGCCCCGCCATAGACTAAGGAGTTCTCCTCTCTACCACGCTCCCAGTTCTAAGCCATCCGTGTCGTGTGGGAACAGGGCTTCCTCCCAGATAGTCCTCTAGGGATGTCTCTATCTTGGACATATTTCCACAACTTTTTTTCTTCTTTCCTATATCCTGGGAATTAAACTAGCGACTTCCTTTTCTAATGCCACTACGTAATTTTCTCCTTCTTGGACTCTGGGAAGGGAGCACTCAGGCTTAAGAATTTTGCCCCTGCTTTCCTGTCCTTTGAGAATTCAGCCCTTGTAAAGCTTTTCTCAAGATGTTTATTGCTATTAGAGACAGTAGAACAAGCTCCTTCCTCTGCTTGTTCTTTGGGTCTAATTTTCGGAAGAAAAGATGGCATCCATGGACTGGTGGGGAGCTCAGGATAAATAAGATTTGGGGGGACCCAAAAATTCACTTGAAGTTAAATGTAGGATTTTCTGTTTGTACTTTTCTAGGTCAGTTGTATTCAGCAGAGTTTTAGGAGTCCCTAATCCAATCAGGACTGTGAAAGACTCAAGGGCTCAGATTAAATGGAAGAGGTCTACCTAATTGTGATAATGTTAAAGCTAGATTACAGACAGCAGGGGTCCCCAACCTCTGGGCCACGGACCAGCACCTCCTGTCAGATCAGCAGTAGCATTAGATTAAAAATAAAGCGCACCATAAATGTAATGCCCTTGAATTGTCCCCAGACCATCCCACCCCACCCCCATCCGTGGAAAAACTGTCTTCCACGAAATCAGTCCCTGGTGCCCAAAAGGCTGAGGACCACTGACGTAGAAGACTGAGATTCAGAGACATCTCAGATCGCCAGCCGCGCCAGCAGACACTGGTCACAAGGATGGAGGCGCTTGCGTGGCTTCTCTGCTCCCTGGGAGCTCCTGAGGCAGTGGTGTGGATAGCTGGGATGTTACTCATCGCTAGTGAGTGCTGACCACCTGCTGGGCATGCTGGAGGAGTTGGTAGAGGAGAGGGGGAGGATTTGAAGAACACGATTGCCTGGGGTTGGAGTGGAAATGGAACTGAAATTAGAGGAATGTTAATAACTAATTGATTGCTTATTGGCAGCTTAGGAAGGCAGATGGCCGCTTTCCTCTCCTCTCACCTTCTGCCCGCACTTGGTCAGCAGCCTGAAATAGTGCAGTGACTTGAATTAAATCTAGTGGTCTCCCTGCGCGGCTACTGCTAGCCCATATGGCACCTTGACATGAATTAGAAGGAAGCCATCTCTTCCTCCGGGAGACACAGCCCTAGGGTGGGCTACATGACTTGCGAGTGGATCGGGATGGTCAGGGTCTAGGTTTAGCCCTTACTTGCCCCTCCACTGGCCCTGTGTTCAGTAATTAGCCTTACACCGGAACAAGGCAACCCCTTTCCATTTCCCGTTCATGGATAAAACTTGGGCAGAGTGAAAAATCAGGGTGAAGACTGCCTATGGCACCAAGTTTGCTAGCATTAGAAAAATCACTTCCCTAAAGTTATATGCATGCTGTAATAAGGGTTTCCCAGGTGGCTCAGTGGTAAAGAATCTGGCTGCCGAGCAGGAGACCTGGGTTCAATCCCTGGTTCGGGAAGATCCCCATCCCTGGGTTGAGAAGATCCCCTGGAGAAGGGAATGGCAACCCACTCCAGGATCCTTTCCAGGAAATCCCATGGACTGAGGAGCTTGGCGGGCTACAGTAAAGAGTCAGACACAACTTAGCGACTAAACCACCGCCCCCCCCATGCTGTAATAATAATATGATTGAGTTGGAAAGAAATCTGGGTAGGTAACAGTCCACAGGCAATCCAAAAGGTGTTGCCTTTTCCTGAGGGGCAGTTTATACATTAGGGACATGTAAAAGATGAAGCAAAAGGAGAAGAGGGCAGCAGAGGGTGAGATGGTTGGATGGCATCACCGACTCAACGGACATGAATCTGAGCAAACTCCAGGAGACAGTGAAGGGCAGGGAAGCCTGGTGGGCTGCAGTCCATGGGTCGCAGAGTGGCACACAACTTATCGACTCAATAACAACGTCAGATGAGTACTCTCTACGTTGTATTTAGTGTCCCTGGAAGTAGATATCCATTCTCGTTATGCATGCTAAGTTGCTTCATTTGTGCCCGACCCTCTGAGACCCTGTGGCGTGTAGCCTGCAAGACTCCTCTGTCCATGGGATTCTCCAGTCAAGAATACTGGAGTGGGTTGCCAAGCCCTCCTCCTAACACATGACAGTGAAGAGATACATAACTATGTAAGCACATGGACGTGTTTTATGTCACTGTTATTTTTTCTCCATCACAGAAGTGCTTGACATTTAATCCAGCCAAAAGAATATCAGCATACAGTGCCCTGTCTCACCCCTACTTCCACGATCTGGAGAGGTGCAAGGAAAAGCTGGATTCCCACCTGCCGCCCAGCCAGAACAGCTCGGAAATGAATACCGCCTAACCTGCCTTGAGCTGATCATCCGGAGGACCTCCTTGGTGGCTGAGGGGTCCCCCGAGGAAGCCTTGCAGAGCTGTCGAGGATCGCTGGCTGGAGACCTCCTAGCTGCTGTCTTCCGGATGGGCTCTGCTTCTCCGAGGGAACCACCTCGTTTACTGTTTTGAATCAATGCAAGAGTGATTGCAGCTTTATGTCCATTCATTTGTTTGTGTGTCTGTTTGTTTCAAGAACCTGGAAGAATTCCAGAAGAGAAGCTGCTGATCCGTTGTGCTGCCGTTTCATTTTTTCTGATCTTGAATGCTGCCCGTGTGACGTGAGCAACCCGGGCACAGCTGAGTGAGATCGCACGTGTAATCTCTCTGTAGCTGCTGGGGCCTGCTTTGGTACTTCTGAGTGAGTGTGTGTGCATGCGTGTGTATGTGTGATTCTTGATCTCTTAAAAAGTGTTACTTTCTATAAGCAAGAGGGAGAATTGAATCTTAAAGTCTCAAAGTGACCGCTAAATAACAGGTGTCTGTTGACTATAGCAGATCCACTAAAATGGACTTCTCAAATTAGAAAATTGAGCCTATGTCCTTAGCATTTCTTTTCTGGTCAAAAGCAGTCAATTCACTAATAGTAAAGGGTTCACCATCTAGGTGAAGTTTTATACACACAGCAAAAAGAAAACATAATTCTAGTATCTTTTAAGAAACCTGTTTCTGAAAGCAAATGTGCTATTTACTCTTCAAAAAGCTGCATTTACTCCTTGTCATTTTATCCTGTATAGTATGCTTGATTGTTTCTTTTAAAGAATACCCTTATAAGCTTGCTATAGATTTAGGGAGTGTACCTCAGCAAGGTAAAATTGTCAAAAAAAAAAAAATAGAGAAAGCCTTTATTTCCTGGTTTGGAGTTTATTTCTTTTTTGGTTTTTGTTGTTACTTTGTTTTGGTTTTGATTTTAGGAATTTTCAGGAACTGTTTCCTTTTTGAGTTGGGAGGATAGTTCTCTCTGACCAGAGGCAGGAATGCCGTGTTAAGTTTGCCTCCGCCTTTTACATTGTACTTCTTCTGCAGTGCACTGCTGAATGCATAGTGTACATCTTTATCTGTCCCCCAGCGTGTCTAATGTACTTCACTAGCCTTACACAGTTAATGACAGATTGCTTAGGCTGTTCTCATGCATCTCCTCCTTTCTTTCCTCCAGTGAACCTTTCTTCAATAGTTTGATTCAGATGATGGCTTATGGCTCCAATTCCACAACCCTAACAGAATCCCATGTGTTCTCCCGCTACTACAAGCTTCCTGGCATTTACTGTTGTTACCTAGGCAGTGAGCAGAAGACTGGCTCTTCATCACTGAGATGTAGGTTGCTTTAAAGTGTTACTTAGTGTTTTGCATTTTTATAGACTATATTGTCAGTGTAGTATCTGAGGGAACGTCCTGAACTATTTTTTAGGGATGTATATTTACTCTGTAAAATTACCTGTTCTCCATCCACCAGGCTGTGCTCACTTCTAGCGCCTTACACACGTTCCCCACCCCCTGCAGAGCCAGCCTGACCTGGGCATTGTGAACAGCTTTACCTTTCCTCTTGCCATTTTTCTCCACAGTACTATATATTCCATGCCATCTCTGCCGTCTACGTAGTTAGTGCTCAGTCAGCTCTAGTAACCAGAAGACACAGAGATGAAGTATCCTTTGGTAAGTTTTAGCTCCCTTGGCTTTCCAATTCATGTTTCGCGTGTGTGAAACAGTTAGATCGTGTTTAGCATTAGGGGCTTCAAAGAATGGACGTTGCTTCCCTCAGAAGAAAATGTTCTATATGATGTTTATGCATAATCAGGCCTTTCTTAGTTCTCCAGAACTTCATAGTGTATATGACTATCTTGAACAAGAGAAAAATTAGGAGACTTTTCTCTTTGAGAGCTTTCTGGGTCAGGACCCATTCTTTTCTAATATCTATATATTGTTTAATATTGTTCTAATTCAATAACTTTAAGAGAAGGAAAATTTTGCTAAATCTAGCTATGAATGAGAAGATGGGCCATGAGAATTTTTTTACAGTCTTCCTTGTGACAGCATCGAGATTATGTTTTGTCATCACTGTAAATGCTTGAGATATAATGGACCCAGAATATTCGAGGCAAATGTACTTGTGGTCTACCCAGATAAGTGGGGGGCGGGGGAGGGGGGGACACCGATAAATGAGTTCTGCCTTTCCTTTGATCGGGGGTCAAAATAATAAAGACCAGGGGCCTGGAAATTGAATTTTAAAACACTGCACTGATCCATCAGGAGCTTTGCAATGAGTATCCATGGTTAGACTGAACATAACTTGGGTTTTGGCTTTTGCAAAAATTTTTCGTAAGTTCACTCAAGAAAAATGCAGCTGTTCTAAACTGGAATTTTTCAGCATTCTTTAGCATTTTAAACATGTAGAAAGTCCAACTTTTATTTCCAACATATGCTCCTGATTCATTTATTGGTGGTGTTTGTAAAGAAAACTTCAAGCATGAACATTTAGATACTTGCCAAATTACCCTGTGAAAGGCAGAACTGTGAACTCGTTAGAGTCTGTCCCCAGCTCCTCCATCCTGGCGGTTGTTGCACTTGAGTGATTACTTTTTATTTTATGTCTTTCACATCCGGCTCACCACTTCTGAGGCCCAGATCCCACACATGCACCTTTGCCATTAGGACACTCTGAATCATAGAGCAGAAGACAAGCTTACTGAATGCGGCTTATTCTTCTGTGACATATGGTTTCAGACAGCTTTGCCAAAAGCTAGGCAGTGATTAGCTGAAAAGGTCATATCGCCCCAGGGTTACACTGAAGCAGCTTATAGCTCTAAGAAACAGGATGACAGACTTGAAATCACATTTGCATTTCTTACTAGGATGGGGACAAGAATGTTTGCCCGATCGTTTCTGTGTATTTCGATCTAGCGGCCCAAGCGTTGGGAACTGCTGTGCCAGGGTGGACTTGTAACAGCCTACATGTGAAGAGTCCATTTAGGCATCATAAGCTCTCACCTGGCAAAGGTAATAAGGCTGGAACCTTATAATCTTAAAAACACAATCCCCAAGAGCTTGTCAGAACCCGGTGCACCGGGGCCTCCCACTTGGCCTTCCCCTTTGAAGTGGATGGGAACTCAAGGAGCGGAGAACCTGTTTCGGAAGAAAGCTCCGGGCCATTTTAGCCCCCTGTGTTCTCATGGTTTTCTCTCGGGAAACACACATTTTGAATGACTGATTTTTCACTTAGCCTCAGGTGACATACTAAAAATAGTTCAAAATATTCACCTGATTCTCAGCCTCTTCGTTTTGGGTAAAAATGAAAATTTCAGAATGCATGGGATGTTACTATCTTAAATAAAACATGGACCTTTTAATAGAGAAATTTATGATATGACTCCAGAATGTGATACTGTCCATCCTGGTGAGAAAAAAACTTAAATATGACCAAACTTTTGAGTCTTAAATAATGGATTTAAATTGAGTTTTTAACTAACTATAGCTACTTCTCTTAAACAGGGGTACCCATAAAAGTCACTAATGACAATTATTTCTTAATAGAAATTAAATCATGTATGCTTCCTAATATCATAAACATACTAAAATTCTTCTCTAAAGAATTGCTTCTCTTTTTAAGTGACTTTACTGTAATTTTTATAAGCACATGAGAGTGTCTCATTTTCCAAAAACAGGCCAATGTTGCATAGGTGGGTCTAGGAAAGAATGTTGAAAGTTAATAAGCCACTATAGTTACTTAATTGTGTTAGTACAATTTCTTGGAATGGAAATAATTGAATATTATGTATTCCAGATATTGATAGAATTCAAAAGAATGCTTAAAGACATAAAATAGTATCTTTATAAAAATTAAAATGTTATTATTTCTAAATTTTTTAAAAACCAGAAGATACTAGGCAGTGGCTAGAGGAAATTCTGGAGAAAATGAAGGTATTCAAAGAAGGATAGTTTCGAAGTTATGTATACTTTATTTAAAGTCACCTGGCAACTATGAACGTGATATGGTCAAAAACAAATTTTATGGAAAAGCCATTCCAAACAGTTATCGTTTCAAAGGTTGAGCTAAAGCGAGTTAAACCACCCCTATTCCTTCCACATTTCATGGGAAGACACAGCCATGTGAAGCTACTCTTGTTGTGCAAGCCTTAAAATGTTCATTGTTAAAAACTAAGTAAATTTTTTAAAGGTATGTGTTTCCTATGCCACCAAGATTTTTGAAAACTTGTGGAACCTAAACCATTTATCATGTGCATTCAGTACATACAGACACATGATGAGGAAGATTAATTACATGTTCCTTCCCCACAGTGGAAAAACTTCAGGCTCCCATAAACCTGCCAAGCAATATTAAGTCCCCAGATAACTAGCAGTGGTGTTTTCCTCAAAGGCATAAGCAGATAGAATTTTCACTTTTTTCTGCATGCAATTTTCAACCTGGTTTTATTACACAACTATATCTCAAGCATTTCTAGTTTGTCCTTTTTCAGAAAATAAACCAAAAATATTCCTTTGGCCTTATCCATCTTCTGACCTTTGTTAACAACAAAAAATGGAGAAAGAGGAGGGGTCTGATTTTTAAATGTTTTCCTCAGTTAGTTTTTGTTTTTTAAATGAAGTGCAAGTCAGCTTTTCAAATGTTTTCTATTTCTTAGCATTCCCTGAGAGTTAATTTAGATAAAAGAATGGACGTCCATCAACATATTTATGTTTTCTTAATAACTGGTGCTCTGGCCTTCGAGAATATAACAAGACTCTCCTGAAAATAAACACAGTTTTTTCCCAACCATCTAGTTAAATACTAGTACAGCAATTTTAAGTCAATATGTTAAGAAGGCGAAGTGGTTTTTCTTTCACATGTCTGTTTTAAAATTCACATTGTCCTAAGGGATGGCCTTTCTTGTTTTATTCTAGTATATTCCACAAGGTGGCACTTTGAAGGGGGGTATGGAATCTGAGCTATGCCTCTAACTTTATTTTTCTGCATACATTTAACTTTTGCCTAGCACCTGTTTTTCAGGATGATTCATAGTCCTCACAATGTTCTGTAACTTAGATATTTTAGCTATTAGCTAAGTTCTGAACAGTTGTCTACAAGTAAATTGTTCTTGAGGATGCATAATACACCCATTTTGATTATTTAAGTGCATGAAGAGAGCCTAGTTGTTCATTTGTTCATGAAACATCTTTTGAGGTATCTAGTTACCTCACTTTTCCAGGTCCAGAAGTTAGAAAGTTGGACAGGCTTATTACTCAATAGGCAATACTCATCTGTGAACAGGATAGTGTTGTTAGGAGTGTAAGATTCCTCCAGGGGCCTCAGGCACAATATGTATATCCCATGTCAGCTGCTTTCCCATCGCCTACTGTGGTAGCCGTTAACACAATCCAGTTTAAAAATCCTAACTAAAAAAATCAGATGCAGACACTAAGTGACACAGCAGCTACTAAATAGACCAAACTACTTTTGCAAAAATCTGCTATGCTGAAACAGAGCCCTAAAATACTAAAAGACCTGCAAATTTGTATAGTCACAAGTATAAATTCACAAGATACTCTTAATTTTTTTAAATTTTCTTTAAGCCTATGAGCTAATAACTTAGGAGTATATCTACATTAAGTGATATCTCCATTTGTGAAGCAACTTCATGTTATAAAAATATATATGTTTTCATAGACTTTTGTTTTAATTCACAGATCTGCTCAGACACCATTATCCACCTGATGATTTTAGTCAGTTTGAGAAGTCATTTTCTTCCGTAGTGTCACTGAACTTTAGAAGGAAGGAAATCATGTTATTTTCCCAGCCTTCCCTCAGCACAAGCCAGCGCAAGGCCGTTTATTCCTTCTGAGCGGCGGAAACTCCGTAGTCCCTGCTTCACTTTTCTCCGGAGTAGCCAGTTGGCTAATCTCGGTAATTATACTAAATCAAAATACCGCACACACTGGGGACTGTCAAATCTTCGGCCTGTCCCTCTTCTTAAAATCCCATTGAAGAAGATTCCAGTTTAAGCCCCTCAGTGGAAGGCCGAATTCAAACCTCCAGTCTGTCATCATTTGGGCCAGTCTGAACCCTATTTACTCGTGCTCAAAGCCTCCCTCCCACCGAAGAAGCCTGCCGAGCGCTGCGCCGTCGCCCCGCCCCTTTGGCCGTAGAGGGTCAGTGGGCGGGGCTGACTGAGACCCGCCCACCGCTCACCTGTTCGTGCCTGATATTGATTACAGACCCGGCGCATTACTGTCCGAGGTCCGTGTTGCCCTGCTGCTGTCTCAGAGGCATCTGTTTTGCAGTCTTAGGAAGTAAAATGTCCCTAGAGGCAAACGATGTCTTCTGTGCATAAATAAGTACAACACAATTCTCCGAAAGTTCGGGTATAAAGAGATGCTACTCTATCAAGCTATCTATCAGGCATCTCTCAAGCTCTAAGCTCTGCTTTTTTTTTTTTTTTTTTTTTTCTCTAAGAGAAGATGTATAATTACAGGAAAGATTTTTTATTTTTTTATTTTCTATCATTCTACATATATGATGGCAAAAGATATGCCTGGAAAAGTTTTGTTTGGAAAATTTTATTTTCTGCTTCATCCTCAGTTGGCAAAAGCTCCTAACTCTTTAATTTCAAACTTTTTCTTTCTCCTTTTTCTTTGTCAGGTAAATAAAGGTATGTAAGCAAATTATGTTATGTAGGAGGGAGACTCTCCTGTTTAGAGGAACCTTTGATGTGAACTGTTTGTCAAACAACCCCTTCCCTATTTAAGGAGTTTGGATTGTCAAATGTAGTTTTTCTTGAAGGGGACACATAACTACATAATGCTGTAAAGAACTATGATTATGGCCGTAATCAGCAAGCTTAAAGCCACAAGTTATATCATTTCTAACTCTGTGGTTTCTAGCCAAACCCAATGAAGTGCTTAGGTTACAGTCCTGAAGAGACCCTTCATACCCTTACTTGAAAGTCTCTAACCTTAAGTTTTATTAAATGCAATAATATGTATTAACTAGCAATATTTGTGTGATCACCAGCAACTCTGAATTTGACTTTGAAGTCTCTGGATAAGGAAAATAGAGCCCAGCAGTAATACACATCTTGAACCCCCTGCCCCCACCAACTGTATTGTATATCTTGCCATTTTGGTCCTGTGTTTGCAAGAAATGTATACAGGAATATTTTAATTCCTTAACTTACTTTGTATTCATTTTATTTTTCTGTGACCAGTGATAAGTCTGTTAGTTAGCACATGGAATGAATAGCATCAACTACTCCTAGGATCAGCATTTAACACGGTGGGAAATTTTTATTCCAAGTTGTTCTACATTTGCATAAATTATTTCTATTATTGTTCATGTATATTATTTATTTCTCAATCACATTAGTCCTGTGAAAGTACAACAGAAGGCAGACCGCATTAGGATTTGCATTTAATGCTCATTATCATGGTCTTGATGGAACTAAGAAAATTAAAATTAAGACTAAGCCCCCAAGTAAGCTGCATGCATTTTAACATGATTAGTAGAATTTAAGTCTATAGAGATAGTATTTTTTGTGTCTAGGTGTTTTATAAGTATGTAAAGGAATTAAAGCAAAGAACTTTGTAGTTGTTCTCTTGTCAAGTATGCATATATTATGGTGTGAAATACAGCAAAAATTAAAACTGCAGATAGCAAAGCATCGAATAAGGCCTTCAGTTAGGAACTCTGCCAGGTGGTCATCATAATAGATGGCAGGTAGAGACAGATGCCTGGTTGGCACTTCCGCTTAGCTGCCCAAGAGAAGAAGCCCATCCCCCACACACACACTCAATCTGTGCCCTCATAGCTGTTGGGTACAGTAGGGGGAGCAGGTAGCCCTGTTGAAAAGAGACCAGTGTGTGAGTTTTCTGTAGAAGCAGAACTGCCAGCCTGTGCCATGAGGCTTCCAGGACGTGCCAGATGGGAGAAGTCCAAGGTTCCGTGCTTCAAGCAAGGTGGTTTTGTAGAGAAGCACTGCAGTCTGGTCATTAAAACAAAGAAGGGCTGCGGGTACATTGTCAGCAATGGAATTTTAACCACCAACAGTCCCTAACACCTCAAAAGCTTGTTGCATGTCTGCTATTTTAAGTTTTGACCTGAAGGTTACAAGGCAAGTGTTTTGTATAGAAGAGCAGTATGTGTTAAGAAAAGCACAATGTCGGTTCCTGTAGAGTGCCGAGTAGGACTAGAGGATTTTATAGGCTTATCATTTCTAAGATGTGTAAACAGTCAGGACACCAATCACAAATGCCTTCTAGCCTCTTCGTAGGGATCTTGATTTTTAAACCCAGTCATTCTACAGAGCATTCCGTTTCGGCTGTGGTGCAAATAGAGAAACTAACCCAAGAATATAAAGCACATTCCGGGCTGCTGTTTTCTATCCATCTACAGGCTATCCTTTCACTGTATTTCTTCATACTTGAAACTCATTCTGCTATTTTAATATCAGGGTACAGACTTACAAGGGTGCATGTTCCTTAAAGGTGCGAAATGACTCTCATTCCGTTTGCTCACATTGCTACAGAATGCTCTGTTCCGGTGCTTTGGGTTCAGCAGGTTGGAGAAGCAGTGCAGAAGCTCACTGCCGGGGACACAGGTTTACCCGAATGTTGGCAGATGGCTTGGTGGTAGATACGGCTTCCACTCTTTTCTCTATCCACAAGATGGAGAGTTCCCACCCTGTGTGAGGTTCACCGGGGTGGCCTTCCTCACGGGGTCCACAAGCCCTGTGCTCTCCCCAAGTGTGGGTGTAGCGCACCTCTCCACAAGCAGGGGCCTTCCTACATACCCAGGTCACTTAGCCCTCAAAGAGAAATGACCTCGGGTGTAGACAGGAGAATGGAAAGAGCCATCTCACTCTAGCGGCCAACCTCGTAGAAAGCCCTCCTGAGGCAAAAAAAAAAAAAAAAAAACAGAAAAGAAAGAAAAGGAAAAAAAAAAAGAAAGCCAATCTGTAAAATTAGCCTCCTCCTAGTGCCTGAACTGAGTGATTTTGCTTCCTTCCTTTTAGCTAGATGAAAATATAGGTCAGTTTACTTAGACTCTTCCCACTGGAAGAGGAAAATAGAAAAGCAGGTATTTGTGTCATGGGAGATATGTAATCCAAGGACCGCCAAAACACACATTAAATACCCCCATTGCTAGCGATCTGTTCCCAATTAGCTCAAAAAAGTGGTGCATGATGACCCAGGTTGCTGAGGGCAAAGGTAGGTCTCCTAGCTCTTACTCTTAAGACTTGTTTGGAGAGGAACTACCGGTGGTGACTGAAGCGATGGAACGTATCAGAAAATTCAGAGGGTTACAGATCAAGAATCCTTTGGAAACTGGATGTCTTACTGGGTGCTAGAATGCAAATTTAGGTATTTATTGTCAGGTAATGGAATTCATTGTCTTTTAAGAATTGGTGTTGAAATGTCATTGTCCAGTTCATTGTTTTCACTTATGCACAAGCTGAATTGAGGCAAAAAAGAGACAATGGTTTGTATATTTGTCATATCTTTTGTATTTCTTACAATAAAACCCTTGGTAGCAAATAAAAATAATAAAAACAGCAATTTTGATCTGCTTTCTTGGAGATGAATTACTATTCTAGCTATTTTTCTTTTTGCTTTAATGTAAAATAAATGTAATTCTTATGAGTAAAGTAACATACAGTTGCAAGTTTTAGCAGAATATGTTTCAAATTTTTAAGAGCCTCCTTTTCAGGCTTCAAATGTTTAAAAGTAGCTACTCATTGAACTTACATTTTCCGTAACACATACTTAGTAAGCTCTAATTAGTCGACTGCGGGAATCACTGAAGACCCAAAAATAAGTAAAGCACCAGGAGCAGTCCTTTCTGAAACTTCCAGACTGAGACTATGAAAAAGCTTTGTGTAACCAATTGCTGATAACCTGGGGAGGAACAAAGATTTCACGCTGGAAATGTTGCTTGCACCTGTGTGGGTGTGTGTTCAGACGTATCCAATTCTCCGACCCCATGGACTGTAGCCCACCAGGCTCCTCTGTCCATGGAATTTCCCGGGCAAGAATACTGAAGTGGGTTGCCATTTCCTCCTCCAGAGGATCTTCCCGGACCAAGAATCAAACCTATATTTCCTTCATTGGCAGGCAGATTCTTTACCACCAAGTCACCTGGATAGCAGAAATGGTGCTTGAGGGGACTGAAAAGTTAATGCTGGTCAGTCACGCAAGGAGAAATACTTTGTGTCTGCAGAAGCCTGCAGTTATGAAATAGCAGACAGGAAAAGGCAGGAGATTGGTGAGGCCACACCTGGAGCAGTAGCTTTTAAGCTTTTGGATCATAACCTACAGAAAGAAATATAATCTAAGAGTATGGCTGGCGCACACATACACACATGGACACACATAAACACGTATTGGAAACGTACATACCACAAAATGATACTGCATGTCCCACACAGGTTTTCTTCTTATCCTCCACACTTTGAAAATACTGGTGGAAAGCCACTAAATTCACTTCATATAACTCTACCAATAGGCCATGACTCAATGATTTAAAACTGTAAGGGGGAAGGGAGTGAGGTCCAGAAGAGCTTAATATGCCATATAAAGGAGTTTGGAACCACAGAAGGATTTTAAAGAGGGAGACAATTTCTGCTAATGTGTGCCCATTTCTGTTTGACTTACATACTAGATCAGAGTGGTAGATGTAGCAGCTCCTGAGATGCTACGGGCAAACCAAAAGTGGGACTATAGTCACTGTCTGATATTTATATTCCCGTCTTTGTGTCCAATATCAGGTATTTTAACATTAGTCCTCCAGAATTCCTTGGGAGCTCTCTTGAAGACTTGTCTTAACTTTTTAACAGGCCCTAAATTGCATCTACATTTTTAGGATCTATACAGAATATGCAGAAGGGATGATACAGAGAGTCAGCAATTTGATCTTTATTAAGAAATGGAAAGTTTGCTCTTTGCTAACAGATCAGTCATAACTACCTGTTTCCACAAATCATAGGCATCCACAACCAGGTTTAGCTGGACCATTTTCTTCAAAGTGGTTTAAAAAAGACTTTCAGCTAGTTAGTTATCTCTGTGTCTGTTTAGCTCACTTAGAACCTCACTCCATTAAAAGCGCAGTAGGCCTCCGCCACTGATTTTTCTCTCTGGACTGTGAGCCCAGTTTATAACTCCCAGTTCTCTAGGGAAGAACTCCTTGTGGACAGCGACGGACCCCAGGAAGTCATATTTGTAACAGCCCTAGCAAACTAATATGTTAATTCAATGAAAAAAGGATAATCTTTTCATCAAATGGTTCAGGAGAAACTGGATATCCAGATGGGTAAAAGAAAATGAAGCTTGATCCTTACTTTACACCATGAAAAACAATTCAAAATGGATCATGGACCTAACATGGAGCTGAAACTATAAAACTTGCTGAAGAAAACATAAGAAAAAGATCCTTCTGACAGGGTTAATATCTGTAGAGTTCCTGAGATATGAAAAACACTATCAATAAGCCATGAAAACAAACTTCATCTTGTTCAGACAGAGAAGCCTGTCCTTGGTAAGAGGATCCCCAGCTTAAGTCAGGGGTGAGGGAGAAGGAGGAGGAGAAATGAAATCTTGGAGACCCAATTTACAGTAAGAAGTAAAGTGGTGTTACTAAGGAGAATGAACTTTCAGTATGGAATAGAACCCCCAGTGGCTGCATTTGAGAGTCTGGGAAAGTTCTGAGAGAACGGGAGCTGGCATCATTTGTTGTGTGACACAGCATGAGAAAGGGAAGGAGGGGGAGACAAAGTGGGAAGGTGGTTTTAAGGAGTTTTCTTATATTTGAGTATAAGCCCATTTTGACGTTTTCTAAGAGTCTACAAAAGATCCAAATTGATTTTCAGTTTCTAATGATGTTGTGCTGAGATGGATCCAGGTTTATCCAGATCTATTAATTCTAAGTGAATATAATGACACCTCTGAAGCCCCGGAACACCTCCCTTGAAGTTTTAGTGTTTTACTGACATTATTATGGCCTGCCATGTAGTCAAATTGACCCTGTGTTTATCTATCTCCCTAACTAGCTTATAAACAGGCCCTTTGAAGGTAGCACTTGGGTTTTAATCTTATCTTTGTGTCTTGCTCGTATCCAGCTTCCAGTCACTCCGAGAATTACACCAAGTAGGTGTTCAAAGGGCTTTCCTGGTGGCTCAAAGGGTAAAAAAAAAATCCTCCTGCAATGCGGGAGACCAGGGTTCGATTCTTAGGTGGGGAAGATCCCCTGGAGGAGGGCATGGCAACCCACTCCAGTATTCTTGCCTGGAGAATCCCATGGACAGAGGAGCCTGGTGGGCTACAGTCTACGGGGTCTCAAAGATTTGCACACGACTCAGCGACTAAGCGCAGCACAGGTGTTTAAAAATTAGTGTGAAATGGATACATGAGCGATAGATGAACGGAATCGAGCTTAAAAGGCAACGTCTTTAGCAAAATCCATGAGAACACCGACTTCTCTGCCACCACTTGATGGATTCTGAGGAATTACCTCCGTCCTAGTCCTCGCTTTATCTATCCCCAGCATCCGCACTATGCCAAGCGCACAGGCGCAATGGAATAACAGTGGGACACAACAGGCCTTGGAATAATCATTGTATCCTCTGGAATGAGGATTTCAAGTACATCAGGAATGGCAGAAAGCGAAACAATCCAAGGCCAAACAGAAAGCAGCTGCCGGGGCCATGCTGCTGTATTGCCGCTTCTGCTGCTGCTGCTGAGTCGCTTCAGTCGTGTCCGACTCTGCGCGACCCCCTAGACGGCAGCCCACCAGGCTCCGCTGTCCCTGGGACTCTCCAGGCAAGAACACTGCAGTGGGTTGCCACTTCCTTCTCCAATGCGGCTGTACTGGGTGAGTGGCAAAGGACAGGAATCCCCAGGCGACCCCTGGGAACTGCAAGGGAGCGCGGGCGCCCGCCTCTCCTCCGAGGCGGTAGGTGGCGCTGTGGGCTCCCGCGGCCGCCGGGTCCGCGAGGCGCCGCTCTCTCAATGGGGTGGGGAGTTGGCCGAAGGACCTGCTTCTGGCCCTCTTCGGTGGCGGCGCTGGCCTGGTCTCCCCGCTGAGGGCTGGCTGAGCTCTCAGTCCGGCACCATGGGGAAGCGGGACAATAGAGTGGTGAGTACTCGGCGGGGAAAACAGTGGGGCGACGCGGGGCCCGGCGGCGGGAGGGCGGGATCGCTCGCCCTTCCCGGCTGGGCCTGAGTCAGCCGCGGCGCTCGGACCTTGAGACTGGAGATCCGGCTCCCCCCAGAGCGAGGCCGGCCCCGGACGCGCTTGCGCCGCGCACGCCGTTGGCGCCTGTGGGCCCCCCACTCCTTTCCCTTGTCTCTCTGGCCCCCCTTTTCTTTACATCCGGTCAGCCCTGCCGCACCCTCTGGCAGTGCTCTCTGGCATCCTTCTCTCCCGCATTCGGGCCAGCAGTGCCCACTATAGAGCCGCCAAGGGTCCTCTGACCCCTCCCGTAAACAAGTCCGAAGTCTGAGGCCNTGTGGGCCCCCCACTCCTTTCCCTTGTCTCTCTGGCCCCCCTTTTCTTTACATCCGGTCAGCCCTGCCGCACCCTCTGGCAGTGCTCTCTGGCATTCTTCTCTCCCGCATTCGGGCCAGCAGTGCCCACTGTATAGAGCCGCCAAGGGTCCTCTGACCCCTCCCGTAAACAAGTCCGAAGTCTGAGGCCCGGGAAGGCGCCGGAACTCGCCCCCGCCGCCCCGACCGGTATCGCCCGCCCCATCTCTGCGCCCCTCTCGCGCACTCGGGTGACCCAGAGGCGCGGAGGTCTTGGACGCTCTCCCTACACCCGGGGGGCCTGCAGGGCGTCCAGTTCTAAGAGGCAAGCGGGCTCGCTGGTTTGAGAACCAGGATCAAAGCCAAATGCTTTGATGCGGCCCCAGAGCCCAGCACTACGTGTGTGTTTGTGTACGTCGCTCTGTCGTGTCCGACTCTTGTGACCCCATGGACTGTAGCCCGCTAGGCTCTTCTGTCCATGGGATTTTCCAGGCAAGAATACTGGAGTGGGTTGCCATTCCCTCCTCCAGGGGATCTTCCCAACGCAGGGATCGAACCCGGGTCTCCTGCATTGCAGGCAGATTCTTTACCGTTTCAGCCACCTGGGGAGCCCACGGGGCACTTAGTAGGCCCCGAGAAGGAATAAATGGCTTGATGGTTGACTCTGGACTCAGACCCAGGCTGGAATGTCGGTTTGGGGCTCTCCGGAGTTGGATGACCTAGGATACGTTCCTGTTTTCATCTGTAAAGTGGAATCAGTGCAGCCCATAACTTTGTAGAATAGTTGAGACCGCACAAGGCAAGATGGGCGGGCGAATGTTTGGTCTGCAAGTTGTTACTCTGTAAATGAGATGAAAGAGATAGAGAAGTAACTAATAGCAGAATGTAAGAAGTGGCTGATGAAAACTCGAGGTTCTCCGTTTTGACAGGCGGAGGTGGGAGGAAGGCACTCTAGGTGTCCACTAGCTTGGTTTGGAAAGCCCAGGTTCTGAATCAGATTGGATGGGCCATAAACAGAAGGAATTTGCGATAAGCTTAGGTTACAGTTGCTAGGCTTGGCCATGATAGAGCTTTAAACCAACGTGCAGCAAAATTTAAAAAATGCTGCCGAAGTTAATGTACTAAATGTAATGAACTAGCTTTTTAAAAATTAAGCGATTAATTTCCTTTGTTTGGGGGAAGGAGAGGTGCTCAAAGAGCTTTACTTCTCTGAAATACTTCATATGTTCAAAACTCTTATCTTAGTTTTTCATAATCTTCGTGATCAAAGATGTCTAGGAACCAAGTGGTGAAGTTTGATTACAAGGTTGAGGAATGTTCTTTTCTCCTGCCTTCCTTTCTGTAGATCAGACCTTATGGTATTGATTCTCATAGAGTTGAGATGGTGTTCTCATGGAGCTTCCTTAGGCTTCAGGTATTGAGTGTTTTGGCTGTTTAATGACCTGAGGCCTTAAATGTTTAGAAATCACTGGACCTTGGGTACAGTTTTCATGCAAAGGCCTAAGATGTTTTGTTTTACTGGCAAAAGGTGTTAGTTTAGACATTTCTTTTAAAGCATTTGAAAACCGAAATTTTCAAGTTAGTTTCATTTACTAGAGCATTTTGACGACCCTGGGCTCTGCTGATTCCTTGGTATGTTGTCTCAGCATAGGTAGTTCCAGTAACATTTTGTATGCGCTTGAAAGGTTATAGAAAGGAAAACAGGAAATTAAGACATAGAAGACACGGGTTACCCAATTCAGCCTTCTTGCTGCAATGGAGGAGGTGGAACTATTAAAGTGTTGGTCGCTCAGTTGTGTCCGACTTCTTTGCAACCCCATGGACTGTAGCCTGCCAGGCTCCTCTGTCTATGGAATTCTCCAGGCAAGAATACTGGAATGGATAGCCATTCCCTTCTCCTGGGGATCTTCCAACCCAGGGATTGAACCCAGATCTCCAGCATTGCAAGCAGATTCTTTACCCTCTGAGCCACCAGGGAAGCCCCCAGAACTATTAAAACTGGGACTCCCCAAAAAAACACTGTGGGTCATCTGGTAACTTAGTTCAGTACATCATAACTTTTGACTTTAAATAAAATGAACATTTAAATAAAATGCAAATGCGTATTTGCATCTGAAAATAATGGCATTTTTTTCTTTTTACATTGATGATAAAAATCATGGTTTTAGAGATGACAGAATTGCTTTCTAAAAAGCCATAAATTTCAGGTTGAAGTTTTTTTAAAAAAATAGGCTTTACTTTTTGGAGCTGTTTTGGTCTCAAGGCAAAATTGGGCAGAAAGTACAGAGAGTTCCCATATGCTCCTTGCCCATAGACACGCCCTGCCTCCCCTATCTTCAACTCCCACACCTGAGCAGTATGTTATGGGTAATGATCATACATTGGCGCATCATTTTCATCTGAAGTCCTTAGTTTAGGTTGATCCCTGGGTTGGAAGATTAGAGTTTCCTTTTAATATTGTACATTCTTCTTTATTTATTTTGATGTTGTACATTCTTAAGCAACTTTTTCCCCCCCACTAAATATTTTAATCCTTGAGATTTGTAAAGCATGAAGGTGTTAGTTGCTTAGTCGTATCCGACTCTTTGCAACTCCGTGTAGCCCACCAGGCTCCTTTGTCCTTGGAATTCTCCAAGCAGCAACATTGGAGTGGGTAGCCATTCCCTTCTCCAAAGGATCTTCCTGACCCAAGGATCGAACCTGGGTCTCCCACATCGCAGAAGATTCTTTATACCGTCTGAGCCACTGGCCACCCTTTGTGCCCATTATTTTCCAGAAGTTTCTTTCATGTTCTTTTCTGTTTTTACTAAAACTTATGTATCTAGATAAAAATAGGTAATCAAAGTAACAAATGAAGTTCTCCACATTTTGTCCTCAACAACTTTACTGCAGTTGCTCTTTTCCTAGCTGCCCACTTTCATATTTCCTTGAGCCCATTTTGCCATCCTGACTTCCAAAAAGCAAACCTGTTTTCTGTTACCCAAGCTCATGGAGCAGTTTGGAGCCACAGACAATTCTAGTTACATATAAGTATGGGTGTTTGATTTAAAAGGTCACAGTATTTAAAATGATTAAGTCATAGACATTTTAAGAAATTGCACAATTTATTTTGATCTATGCTCATCCATTATATATACTATATATAACACACTAATGTTAGAAGCATTCTTTTTCACACTTATGCGTAGTAAGTGAAAGAGCTTTACCTTTGTGTGAGACGGTTACTTATTTGGTTTTTAAAACCTTTTTGTTGTGCATCATAAAGAGGAGCACTGTTGCTCAATGATTATGAGCACAGACTCATGATCAGGTGTTTCGCAAGGAGATTTTAAGATGCACTTCATAAGTATTACCATTGTAATTGAAATAAATAATGGAGCTATTTAGAGTGTACTTAAGCAGACTGGGCATAGTGTTTATCAAAAGCTTGAAAGTTAAGCCTTATTACATACTCAGTAATAGCTCATGTAATTGTGCCATAACTTGTCCATGATTAACATGGACTCCTAGCATATGAATGTACTATTTTATATTCCTCTGAAAAGTAAGTAGTAAGATAGGATGATACATACTTTGAGGACGCAGTTTCACAGTAGACATTAAAACTCATTAATGAGTTTTTAAGATATATGCTAGAAAATTTAAAGGCTGTAAAACATAGTAAATGTGCCTTTAGATTATTTAAAACTACAGTGAAAAATTGCCGCTATACTAAGTCCTCTGCATACGAACCTTCAAGTTGCAGACTTTCAAAGATGCAAACACGCTTTCGCATGTATAGTCACGTAAGTTAGTTCGCCTGTCTGGCGTATATTGTCATGTATGTGCATCCTCTTCAAGTAGTTGTGCTTTTGTGTACTGTAAAGTAGAACACAGTAGTGCGGTATGTTCATGTAAAGTCCTGAATGTCCAGCAGCAAGCATAAAGGCAGTGGTGATATAGCTGTTCCTACTGTACTCTTCGAGGTAATGTACTATAATATTAAAAAATGTTTTCTTGGGACTTCCCTGGTGACCCAGTGGTTGGGAGTCTGCCTTCTAGTACAGGGGATGTGCGTTTGACCCCTGGCCAGGAAACTAGGATCCCACACGCCATGGGGCAGCTGAGCCTGGGCACCACAACTAGAGAGCCTATAACTAAGACCCTCTTTTACACTGCTCTGTACATTTCAATAGCAGTTCTTGGGCCAAATGCCTTGTTGATATTGGGAGTTGTCTCCACTGCTTTACAGCGCATTTTGAACTCTTAATAGGAAAATCCGCTCAAATTTGCTTTTTGTCTAACATCATTTCCATAGTCCAAAGTAAATATAAAATAAACAAGTAATAAGTCATTAACCAAAAACCATAAAATGAGAAATGTGCATTAATTATGACCACATTTATTATGAATGTATTCCAGTGTCAAACGGCAAATTTCAACAATGCAAAAACCGCTGTTATATTTGCACCAACCTAGTATTTCATTTGGGAAATATAGTGTATTTGATGACTCTCAGGTTGATGGCTATTTGGGTATTTTCAATATTTCCTCTTCTGGTGATACAGTTTTTAACATCCATGTATATATTTATAACTTTGAAAATAAAGTTTTTACAGGTTCAGGCTTAAAACTGTTTACCATTAAATACTGCTAAAATTATGACATACTCCTGGTTTAAAAGTGATGATCTCAGTTTGTACATTATATTTTTGATCATTAAGATGGTCAGTGTCATTGGGTGGGCCAACAACTGCTCTGTTGTGGCCTTTGTTGGTTGTCATTTCCACATAAACTGATTCAAAATCTCAGTAGAGACAATTGAATTAAATATTTGAGGGCATAACATCTGATATTAAAAATATAACTTTTATGCCTCGGTCTTCAACGTTGCATTGACAGCCACATGTAGCCCCCATCCTGTAAATGTCTCTGACCTTAGGAACTCTAGCTGTAAGAAAATTATATTAAAGGTTTAGCCGTTTTCATCTCAGGTAATTAGGCAGTATCCAGTTGAAGAAATAATTCTCGTAATGTGTTGTTTACAGTGATTGTGTATTGTTTACTCTGCCAGAGAAATCTAGACATACATAACTTAAATTTGTTATGAAGGTGGAAAATTTTGTCATTTTTAAAGATTTTAAGTAAAATGCAATGGCTGAAAGTACCTTTTTATTTATTTTTTTTGGAATGTTAAGTACTAAATTTCAGGCCTTAAAATCAATCTTTGTGATAGTCATTTTCAACCAAATTTCTTTTTATTTAAAGAGTAGAAGATGGAGAAGGAAATGGCAACCCACTCCAGTATTCTTGCCTGGGAAATCCCATGGACAGAAGAGCCTGGCAGGCTACAGTCCATGGGGTTGTTAAAGAGTCGGACATGACTTAGCAACTCAACAACAACAACAACATGGATTTGTCAGTTTCTGTTATGAGTACTGTAAGAAGTTAAATAATTAAAAGCATTATTTGTGATAAAATAAAAAGTGGAAGAGTTTTTAATAAATGTTTATTGACTTGAATTAAATTGGAAAACAATCATAGGATCAAAAAGTTGAGACTGAATTAAAGACTGGATTTTGTATCTGTTCTAAAGTGAATTCTAATAAAACATGGTCTGCTAGACACTGTCCTTAACAAATATTCTGCTTTATTTTGTCTCAGTATGTTTTTGGGCAAAGTGTATAAAAATATGTATTTCTGCTTTAGTAAGTGTAGTTTACAGAGCATAATATTATAGTTTTGTGGGGTTTTATTGTACAGAAATATATGTAACATAAAGTTCATCATTTTAACCATTTTTAAGTGTATAGTGCATTAGATACATTGACGGTGTTATACAGTTATCACCACTATGCATTTCCAGAAGTTTTTCATTATCTCAAACAAGAAGCTTTGTACCCATTACACCACTCTCAGCCCCTGGTAAACTCTTTTTTTTGTCTCTGAGTTCACTTATTCTAAGTACCCCAAATAAGTTGAATCATACAATAGTTGTCCGTTGGTGTCTGCTTTATTTCACTTAGTATGCTTCCAAGGTTCATCTGTGTTGTAGCATGTATCAGAATTTCACTCTCTTCTGAGGCTGAATAATATTCCATTGTATGTACTGAATTGGCCAAAATGCTCATCTGGATTTTCCCATAAGATGGTATGGAAAAACCCAAACAAACTTTTTGACCAACCCAATATATAGTACATTTTGTTTATCCATTCGTCCATAGGTGGATGTGTGGATTGTTTCCACCTTTTGGCTGTTGTGAATAACGCTGCCGTGAACGTGGGTTTACATGTATCTGTTTGAGCCCCTCCTTTCCGGTCTTCGATCCTACTTAGAAGTGGAGTTGCTGAATCATATGGCAATTCTATGTTTAACTTTCTGAGGAATCGTCAAACTTTTCCAAAACAGCCGCACCATTTTTTATTCTCACCTGCAGTGCTTAACGGTTCCAATTTCTTCACATCCTTGACAACACTTTTTATTTTCTGTTTTTCATAGTAGCCATTCAACTAGTGTCTCATTGTTTTGATTTGCACTTCCCTCATGACTAGAAACTCCAGGAGATGAGGGAAGACAGAGGAGCTGGGCATGCTGCAGTCCTTGGGGTTTCAGAGAGTTGACAACAATGACAAGTAACAGCGAACATCTTTTCATGTGCATATTGGACACTTGTATATCTTCTTTGAAGAAATGTCTTGAGTCCTTTGCATATTTTTGAAAGGGGTTTGGGGGTTTTTTGTTGTTGAGTTGTAGGATTTTATTTTCTTCCATTCTGTGGCTTGTCTTTTCAGTCTTTTGATAGTATTCTTTGATGCACAAATATTTTTAATTTTGCTGAACTTTTGTTTATTTTTTCTTTGGTTGCCTTGCATAATTAATTTTTGATAGTTAACCATCTGTGTATAAAATTGCTATTAGGATGGCACAGTATTTCCTGAGATAAAAGATAAAGTAGAATAAACAATGAATTTAGTGTTAAGTCTTCCATCCTTGAAACCCAGTTTCTTCATTTACCTACCCTTAGAGCTTTGTTGGGCTTTTGGAGAAAGTAAGAGAAAGTAAAAGAAGAGGTATCAAGTTATTTTCATCAAATTTCTGGTGAAGATACATTTTCTGTGAAATAGTGGTATTACTTACCTCCCAAACTTCTGAGGCCTAATGTTGTTGTTCAGTTGCTAAGTGAGTCCAGCACCCTGCAGCCCCATGCACCGCAACGCGCCAGGCCTTTCCATCCTTCACTGTCTCCCTGGTTTGCTCAGACTCAGGTCCGTTGAGTTGGTGATGCCATCCAGCCATCTCATCCACTGTTGCCCCCTTCTGCTCCTGCCCTCAGTCTTTCCCAGAATCAGGGTCTTTTCTAATGAGTCAGCTCTTCACATCAGGTGGCCAAAATATTGGAGCTTCAGCTTCAGCACCAACCCTTGCAATGAATATTCAGGGTTGATTTCCTTTAGGATTGACTGGCTTGATCTCCATGCTGTCCATGGGACTCTGAAGAGTCTTCTCAAACACCACAGTTCAAAAGCATCAATTCTTCGGTGCTCAGCTTTCTTTATAGTCCATCTCTCACATCCGTACGTGACTACTGGAAAAACCGTAGCTTTAACTAGATGGACCTTTGTTGACAAAGTGATATCTCTGCTTTTAATACACTGTCTAGGCTGGTCATAGCTGTTTTTCAAAGGAGAAAGTGTCTTTTAATTTCATGGCTGCAGTCACCATCCACATTGATTTTGAAGCCCAAGAAAATGAAATCTGACACTGTTTCCATATTTCCCCCATCCATTTGCCATCAAGTGATGGGACCAGATGCCATAATCTTCGTTTTTTGATTGTTGAGTTTTAAGACAGCTTTTTCTCTCTCCTCTTTCACCTTCATCAAGAGGCTCTTTAGTTCCTCTTCCCTTTCTGCCGTAAGTGTGATGTCATCTGTATATCTGAGCTTGTTGATATTTCTCCTGGCAGTCTTGATTCCAGTTTGTGATTTATCCAGCCCAGCACTTCGTATGATGTACTCTGCATGTAAGTTAAATAAGCAGGGTGACAGTATGCAGCCTTGACGTTCTCCTTTCCCAGTTTTGAACCAGTGGTTGTTCCATGTCCAGTTCTAACTGTTGCTTCTTCACCTGCATACAGGTTTCACAGGAGGCAGGTAAGATGGTCTGGTATTCCCATCTCTTTCAGAATTTTCAGTTTGTGGAATATACACTTTGACTGTGATCTACACAATCAAAGGCTTTAGCATAGTCAGTGAAGCAGAAGTAGATGTTTTTCTGGAACTCTCTAGTTTTTTCTGTGATCCAGCGGATGTTGGCAATTTGATGTCCTATTCCTGTGCTTTTTCTAAATCCAGCTTGTACATCTGGAAGTTCTCGGTTCTACTGTTGACACCTAGCTTGACGGATTTTGAGCATTATTTTGCTAGCGTGTGAAATGAGTACAACTTTGTGGGAGCTTGAACTCAAGTTCTTTGGCATAGTTTGACCTAGTATGCGTTTATAGTAAAGATTGCTTTATGAGTAAGAAAATGATTATTTTAATGGAGTTAATTTTTGTTTTTTTCCTCAAGGCCTATATGAACCCAATAGCAATGGCCAGATCAAGGGGTCCAATCCAGTCTTCAGGTCCAACGATCCAAGATTACTTGAATCGACCAAGGCCTACCTGGTATTTGTGAAACAATTTACCTATGTAAATATATATAAGGTTTTCATAAATGTTTTAAAGGTCATTTTACAACTTCTACTGATTGCCAAGCAGTTGCTAGATACATCATCATTTGAAGTAGTATTTAATATGTGCTTACTTTTGAACGTATAAAACACATGCATGAATATAAAGCAAGCATTTCGGAACCCACCACCTAGTATAGCTAAAGCACTGCCAGAGAACCTTTCATACCAAACACATCTCTGTCTCCTGAAAGTGACCTTAACCTTGCAGCATTCCAGGCTATTTGAAATGGTAGGTTTGAATAATTTAACCTTTCTTTGAGGTGTAACAAGTGTTGAGAAAGAAAATGTTAGGCCTTGTTTCTGGTTTTATCTGCTGGCTTTACAGTATGTTAGGATTTCCCATTGTCTAAGTTGTGTGTTAAAGTTTGTTTTGTTTTGCCCTTGTTGAGTGGCTCTGATCTTTTGTAAATAAAGTATCATAGCTCTAACATTATTATTTTTCAGTATGTCTTGTTATTAAATACCCATACTCCTGAAGTGACATAAGAGAAGATTCAGAGCTGTTAGCTTTTTATTCCTTCTAAGGGCCCCCAAGAGCTGGGCAGCTATAGTTGAAACTTGTGCTTACACACAACAAGGAATCCTTCCTTTGAGTTAAATACAAAGTAAGCTGTGTCTGCCCCTTCATCAGTGCCATTGTTTATTGTTGCAGCATACAGGAAAATAAATTATTGCAAAACAAAGTGTGTTTTATCTTTAAGATTGGGGAGAAGGGATGAATACTTTTTATCTTTTTTTTTGAGAAGGGAAAGGGGAAGTGCCCAAGCTAGTGAATTATACATGTGGTCAGACATCCCCAAGACAACCCTCAGGTTGGGTAATTGCTAGAAGGATTCACAGATAGTTGTACTCATGGGCAAGATTTATTATGGTGGAAGGATACCAGGCACAGTCAGCAGAGGAGAAAGGCACACGGGGAGAAGTCCGGGGGAGACTGGGAGTCAGCTTCTAGGACTGCTCTGTGGAGTCGCACAGGATGCTGCCTTTAATCCCCTCAGCGGTGAGTTGTGATAACATGTGTGAGGTGTGGCCAGCTAGTGTGATCCAGTATGTCCAGCTTCTTTACTGGTGATTGGTCAGCCTCTGCCTATCAGCTGCCAAAATTTCAGACTTCCAGAAGGAATGCAGATGTTCATATAAACTGTTGTATGTGTATAGATAGGCATGGTGAGCGCTCTTATCAGGGGACGGTGCCAAAATCTAAGTTCCCAGATGCCAGCCGGGGCCGCTCTTTCTTGTAAGCAGGTGCATTATAAAGTGGGTGATTTAGTAGTAGACTGTAGTAGTTCAGTCATACAGGCCTTAATCACCCTGACACTGCAGCTACTCGCTTTGTGACCTTCCCTAAGCTACAGCCTCTTTCTCTCCTATGGGAGTAATAATGCTACCTTTTCTCAGAGGATTGTTGTGAGGATTAAAGGAAGATGTATTTAAAACAGTACCTGTTGTGTGCCTGTGTGCTCACTTGCTAAGTCATTTCCAACATGGACTATAGCCCACCAGGCTCCTCTGTCCATGGGAGTCTCCATGCAAGAATACTGGAGTGGGTTACCATTTCCTCCAGGGGATCTTCCCAGCCCAGGGATTGAACCTGTGACTCGTGTATTGACAGACAGATTCTTTACCACTGAGCCACCTAGGAAGCCCTTACCTACTGTATGGAAGTACTCAAATGTTTGGTGTTTAAATATTAGTGTATATTTATATAAACTTATATAAATTTAAATACATATAAATTTTTATAAAATATTAGTTCTTATAAACCCATGTTCTGGAGAGGAATGATTATGTTATCTGATAGGATTTGTTATGATAATTAATTTACAAGGACATGAGCAAAGAAATTTTAAATGTAGCAACACTGGAACTGGAATGGAGGCTTATTAGGATATTAAAAAACTATGGAATTTTTGTTGTCAGCATCCATCTTTAATTTGAACTGCTTGAAAATTTATTGTACATTCTATTTTTGAAGGGAAGAACTGAAAGAACAACTAGAAAAGAAAAAGAAAGGCTCCAAGGCATTGGCTGAATTTGAAGAAAAAATGAATGAGGTTTGTAAATTGTGCCTTTATAGAAAAAGACACTAATCTTTTTTCTTACAATAAAAAAAATGAGATAATTTTTAATAAGCCGAGAGCTTGGGCCTAGCTCTTTAAGGGGACTCTATTTTAGAAGTGTTTTTGTTACATTGAATATGATTTGTATTTAAGTATTTGACTTCTTTAAAAAAGAAATAGAGAAAACTGTCTTACGGTGATTTAAATCATCTTACGTTTTCTAAGTGTTAGGTTCGTCCCTCCTCTCCCCTGGTCCCCAGGCCTCCATCTTACCCTGGGATTTCCACCGTGATGTTTGCGTGTTTGATTACAAATCTACATGTAGTATTTCAGCCACAGTATAGATTAATTGAACTTTTATTGTCTGGAAAGAGAATTTAACCACCTTTCTTAAAAAGAAAAAAGTTCTCAGTCTTAGTAATAACACCTACTCCTCCTTTCAGTATACAGTGTGGAATTTCTACCTCATAATATCCTCTTTGAAAGGAACTCATTAGAGGCTCCTTTGGTGATGGGGAAAAGGATTCTTAAGCCTGCAGCATCTTTTGACTGTAATTAGAGGCTGAGATGGGAGCAGGATAGAGGATGGAAGGAAGGAAGTAGTTGTCTGCACATTTCAGTATAAAAGGGGAAGGGGCGACAGGCTGAGATGGTTGGATGGCATCACCGACTCAACGGACATGAGTTAGCGCAAACTCAGGGAAATAATAAAGGACAGGGAAGCCTGGCGTGCTGCAGTCCATGGGCTCTCAAAGAGCTGGACACAACTTAGTGGCTGAACAACAATGGGCAGCAACATTTAGATATATTAGGAGGGGAGAGACGACCTCTGATGTGTTTATAATTTTTCTGCAGAACTGGAAGAAAGAACTAGAAAAACACAGGGAGAAATTGTTAAGTGGAAGTGAGAGCTCATCCAAAAAAAGACAGGTAATGCCATTTTTATTTTATTGCTATTCTTACTCTCAGAGTTCGGTTTACATAGTAATGCTGTGTACTGCTGTTAATAGGTCCACTGGAAAACACTACCTTATTTAGATTTGTATTTGTATTTGTTTGCTTTTAGAGAAAGAAAAAAGAAAAGAAGAAATCTGGTAGGGTGAGCAAAAGTTTTCCATTTTTTCTAAGTGTTATATTCAAGAGCCTACAAAACAAAAAGTAAGAGTAATTGATACAAACTGTATGCTAACTCTAGATAAGTCAGAGTCTGGAGGTCCTTTGGTAGTTATGGGTGGTTTTCTTCTGTTAGTGATAATAAAAGGAAGGTGCTGACCTCCTTATAACCTTGTGACTCCTTCGTTACAATTAAAGAGGGAAAATTGACTACTGCTGCCACATCTTTTGTTACTTTGGGGGGGGTGTGAAATTTGACATTTAATATTTAAGTCATATGGCATCTGTTTCTCAGAAACTAGATTGATTTCGTTAAGTATTTGAGAGACTTAGTAAAAGAAAAGTTCCTGCATCTCACAAGCTTTAATTGTTTTGTGTTTGGTCAAGTATTCATCTTCTTCTTCATCAAGCTCTGATTCTTCCAGCAGTTCTTCAGATTCTGAAGACGAGGTAATGTTTGCTGCCGTGATGAAGTGTGAAATACATGACATGGCATTTCTGATATCTTTCATAGCAAGGGGAAACCTGTTATGAAGTGTCTGTTGGAAATGTTTACTTCCAAGTTTTGATTGATTATTTCTGAGAGCACTGACATGAATAAATAACTAGATACTTAAAATATTGGTAAATGTATTTTTTAGATTCCTAAATTCGTCTTGTTCATTTAAGAATATTAGTAGAAGAAATGGATTTAAAAATCACAAAGTCCATTTTAGCTAAGAATTACATGTGACTCAAATCACTTAATGTTTTTAATTTTAAAAAATGATGTATGTATGTTATATTTTAAATATTAATTTTAAAATAAAACATTTACAAGCTGATATTTTCATTAAGTTTTGTTCATTGATGAAGTTTTGATGTCAATTAAATGCAACGAATATATGCAACGAAACAAAGCAAATTATTTATGTTTCATGTAGGATAAAAGACAAGGAAAAAGGAAAAAGAAAAAAAAGAGTCGTTCACATAAATCTTCTGAAGATTCCATGTCAGAAACTGAATCAGACAATAAGGTAAAATTGTTTAAACGAGCAATGTTTTGGATAGCAGACATTTACTTAGATTTTCTTTTTTTTTTTTTTTTTTTTAGATTTTCTTTTCATTCTTACTATCTTAAATAGCTCTCAGCGTTGAAATGTGACACTGTTTTTTGTACTTTGATGCTCTGTGCCGCTTAATTGGTGCACTTAATATTGTACATAGGGCATTTTATTGTTTTCTAAATGCTCTAACATATAGATAGGTCTCTGTGTCTCAAAATTTTCATGGTAACTTTATGATAAACATGGCAGACATTGTTTTTCCCATCTTCATAAAGAATTTGTAGTGCAGATATAAAGCATCTTGCTTAAATTCATACAAATAGTATTAGAATTGAAAGTTGAATCTGTCTTTTGATATCTGATCCTTTTTATGGTACTATACCTCATCTGTTCTGTACTATCCAGAATTATCAGGTACAGTTAACTCTCAAACATTAGTGGTCATAAGAAATACATGCAGGTTATAATAAAAATGTAGATTCCTGGGCCCCATCTCCACAGTGTGATTTAGTGAGGCTGATTAGGATCAGAAGTCTACATTTTTAACAAATAGTCTCTATGATTCTGACGTGGTATTTCACAATTGACAAGCACTGTCCTGGGGGTCAAGGAGAACAAAACCACTGTGTGTTTTTATGGCGGATATCTGCTTGACCTACTGAGATTTCTTCTGATAAAATGCCTGGCATCTAGAAAGTACTCAGTAGATGGTAGTTTTGTTTTAAAGCAGAAGAGCCAGTTTAATGATACTGATAGCTAACATTTATTGAACGCCTGCTATGTATTAGGCCTAGTTCTAAGCACTTAACTTTTAACTCAGTCCTCTCAGCAACTCTATGAAGTAGATATTTATCCCATTTTATGGATAAGGAAGGCTGAGAGAGGTTAATAGCTAGCTCAGAGAGATTCAGCCAGGGATTGAACCTATGTCCCTTGCACTGACAGGTGTATTCTTCCCACTGAGCCACCGGGGAAATCTCTCCATTGTTTTAATTTAAGATACTTCATTTCCTTTAAGAATTGCTTCAAGAAATTAACAATAAAGCACTCCCTTTTTAACTTAAGATTTCTTTTGCTTATTGGGTTCGTTATTGAAGGTAAAAGATGAGAAGAGTATTCCTGCAGAGAATTTGTGTAGATGTAGTGTATTATCTCAAAATTGAAATAATGAAGATTTTAAACATTCCATTTGTTTCCTCACTCATTTTATTTTATTTTATTTTAAAAATATGGAATGCTTCACAAATTGCGTGTCATTCTTGTGCAGGGGCCATGCTAATCTTCTCTGTATCGTTCCAATTTTTAGTATATGTGCTGCCGAAGTGAGCACTCCTCACTCATTTTAAAGAAGGCCCTTTTAATGAAAGAACATGGATTTCTGTTTCAAATTGAGTATAACATAGATAATTTGAAAAATCTTTTTTCTACTGTAAGTAGATGTTTTATCTTCATTTATAGCTTATCTATACTTAATGCTAAATTTATGCCTATCTAAGTTTCTAATTTATAATTTTTAGTCTTTCTGATTCCCTGGAAAAGGAAATGGCAACCCACTCCAGTGTTCTTGCCTGGGAAACCCCATGGACAGAGGAGCCTGGCGGACTACCGTCCACGGGGTCACAAAGAGTCGGGCACAACCTAGCACCTGAGCACACGTGCAGTCTTTCTTATTATTAAAAATAAAAGCCTAAAGAAAGCATTACTAATAAAAGAAAATTAAATACCAATGTCACCAAAGTTTATTCAGTCTTTTTATATCATTCCAATGGACGTGAACTTGGGCAAATTCTGGGAGATGGCGAGGGACAGGGAGGCCTGGTGTGCTGCAGTTCATGGGGTCGCAAAGAGTCGGGCACAACTTGGTGACTGAACAACAACAAAAATTGAGGTGAAATTCACATAATATGCTATGAACCATCTTTCAAGTATAATTTGGTGATACTTAGCTTGTGTACAGTGTTGGGCACTGTTGAGCAGATCAGCTCTTTAGTTTCAAGACTTTTTCATAATTCCGTTAAAAATACCCATACTCATAAGTCCTCAGCTCCTTCTCTGCTCTCCTCGTCCTGTGCTGGCCTCCAGTCTGCTTCATGGCTCCGTGGGTTTGCATCTTCCGGCTGTACCAGATAAAGCAGTTACACTGCATGTGACCTTCTGTGGCTGGCTTCTTTCCCTCAGTCCATAATGTTTCCTCTTGGGTNTAAAGCAATGTGGTATGGTACAGGAATAGAAAAAACAATGGAACATTGTAAAGTCCAGGTAAAAATTGGTAAGTATTTGTGGAATTTATACATGCCAGAGGTGGCATTTCTTGGGCAAAAGTGACTAACCATTTGAAAATTTTAAAGTTTAACACTCCTTAAGGCCAAATAAATTCCCAAATAAGTCAGAAATATATGGAAATGTAACTAGAGAAAGACATGGGTGAATATAACATCAGAGTGAGAAAGGCCTTTGCCTCAAAACTCAGGAACTTTTGACCATATAATTCAAATTCTGAATGGCAAAAAGACATTTAAGCTATGGACAAAGTTTAAATATATATGAATAGACTAAGAAAAACTACTAGGAATATGTAAGACAAAAACCTTGATCTTCAATAATTAAGAGAAAGAGAATACCTCACACGCACAAAAATAGGCAAAACACGTGTGTATGTGCTTAGTTGTGTCCGATTCTGCAACCCCATGGACGGCAGCCCGCCAGGCTCCTCTGTCCGGGGCATTTTCCAGGCAAGAATACTGGAGTGGGTTGCCATTTCCTACTCCAGGGGATCTTCCCGACCTAAGGATTAAAACTGTCTTTTGCACCACCTACATTGGCAAGGTAGATTCTTTACCACTGTGCCACCTGGGAAACCCAAAAAACATGTTTAGGCAATTCTTAAAGAAAATATGAACTATATTCTAATAATCTGAGATTGCTATGACTGACGAAAGAATCTGATGAAGAGGCTTTTTGGTGATGTGTGATTGATGAATGAATGAAATAAACAATTTTGAGGGTTGTGGGAGAGGGAGACAATGATTTAGATGAAGGCTGCTTTGGTTTTTTATTTAGTCTTTATTGTTAGATAAAGATTTTTCCCTCACATACGGTTTACTCTGTTTCAACTTTAATAGCAAAAACCTATATGCCTGATGGGTTAAGTAAGTTGTGGGATATACTTTCAATGATACATAGTTTCAATGTATATCAAAAGTGGCCAAAAATGATGGTGTAATTGGCATGGAAGGATACTATGGGGTGAAAAGAGTGGGTTACATAAACAGGTATTTATGTAAAGGCATACATACACACATAGATATTTCCCAAAATCCCTGTAGTGGGATTTGGGTGCATTTTCTTATAATGAATTATTTCTACTAAAATAATAAAGCTGTTTACAGAAACAAATCACCTGTAATCTAACATGTATCACCACCTTTAGTTTATTTCCTTGTTTACCTCTGCAAAATTGGGTTCATGCTATTAAAAAAATGGTCATTTTTTTCTGTGTAAGATTAGGTGGCGAACATTTTTTCCTCTATGTGGTTTTGTTTTTGTTATGAACTACTTCATACATACAGATAAAGTATATAGAAAATATAAAATGACAACTGGCATATCCAGAATGCAGCTTTAATACATCTTCATGTTTTGTCGCTTTTGCTTCAGGTGTTTTCAGAGTACTTCTCCCTTCTCCCAGTCTTACTCTCATTTTCTCCCCCTGAGTTGTACATTTTCTCATCATTAAATGCTTAGGGATTAAGTTTGGGTTTTTTTGTTTTGTTTTGTTTTTTTAATGTAAATTTAACACTTTAAATGCATTAAAGTGCAGTCATCTTTTTACATTCTTTTCTATAGCACTAGGCCTGTCTGATCCAACCCTGGATAGAAACAAAAGAGTTAGAATGCAACGGACCCAAATCTTATGCTATGTTTTCATTAACTCTTTAAGATTCTATCATGTTTAATTAGAGAAAGTAAAGAAGATATTACATCTAAGTGAATGTTTAGTTATTTCTTTTCAAGTTACTTAATAAAAGTAACTTTTATTGAAATTAGAAACTGATTCCTGATAAATGTCACCAATTTTAGACAGTTCTAAAATGAAAATGGGTAGTTTTTGTGATAATAGGAAAAATTTTTAAGTAGAACTTAGAAACATAAAATTCTTGTGCATACTATTATATCTGAGTCAACATACATGTATTTATTTTTCATAGGACATTAAAGGGCTCAGCAAAAAAAGAAAGATGTATCCAGAAGATAAACCATTATCATCTGAGTCAGAGTCAGAATCAGAGTATACTGAGGAGGTAAGTATATAATTAAATCCATTTTCTTTACTTTAAAATATCTAGTTATTTGACTTAATGAATGTGAATTATTAAAAAATAATTTTTCATAAGTATTTGACTCACTTTTCTAACATGTTAAATGCCATTTAAGATTAAATTCTGCATTTTTACAGAAGATAGTAATATAGTTTTTATTTTGATAATTATATTCCCACATACCTTTCCTACCTGAGAACTTTTATTTTTACTCTCCTAATATTTTCTTTAAATTTTACTACCATTTTGATGACATGAAAAATACTGTATAGTATGTAGCACATTAAAACACAGCATTCCCTTGTTTTGGTTTTTTTTTTTTCCATTTATTTTTATTAGTTGGAGGCTAATTACTTTACAATATTGTAGTGGGTTTGTCATACATTGACATGAATCAGCCATGGATTTACATGTGTTCCCCATCCTGATCCCCCCTCCCACCTCCCTCCCCACCTTGTTTTGGTTTTGAGCTGCTCTTTAGAAAGCAGAAAGGTTATAAGGTAAAGCAGAAATGTTGATAGGACCTCAGTTTTCCTATCCACAAAATGAGGAACTATGGTTAGGTAATCTAGACCATCCTTTTCAGCTATAATATCCATGTCTGAGATTTTGTACTCTGTTGGAATTAGAGTCCATTCTTGGTTCATTTTGGTTTATAAGTTGTCATCTTTGATGTAGTCCTCTGCTTAGGCTTGAATTCCTCATTTGAAAAATAAAACCTGTAGCAATTTTATAGCAATATTTATGTAGCAATATTTCACACTATTCCTTTAATGAAGTTTGTAGGTAATATAGCTTACCTGTACACATTTTTATATTATTGATGGTATCCCCTAAAGAAATAAAAATGAATGGAAGAAAATAATATATAATTTTATGAAATTATATTTCTGTATATAAGTATTTGAGCATAATAACACTAGAAGACATAAAATATTGAGCTGCAGCAAAATTCAGGCTATAGCAGGCAAATTGACCTATGCCCTTAAAAAGCCATATAATAGCATTGTCATCAGTGACATTTCGAAAATGGTAGACAATTCCCAGTAAAGCTCCGAATGAAACAAAGGACAGTCTTCCCTTTATTTATATGTCGCTTTTACAGGACATTTTCTATCTTGTTATTCTTCCATGTCTGCAGGGAGTTGGTTCCAGGACCCCTGTGGATATCAAAATCCACAGATGTTGTCTCTTACGCAAAATGGCATAGTAAATACTTGTGTATAACCTATGTACATCCTCCCATGTACTTTTAAGTTATCTGTAGAGATGCTGTATAAATAGTTGCTAGCATGTGGCCAATTCAAGTTTTGCTTTTTGAAACTTTCTGCCATTTTTTCCCCCAAATTTAAAAAAAAAAATTTGTTTACTTCTGGCTGTGCTGAATCTTGGTTGCTGGGTGGGCCTTTCTCTAGTTGCAGTGAGCAGGGGCTATTCTCTAGTTGCTCCACGCAAACTGCTCACTGCAGCGGCTTCTCCTGTGGAGCATGGGCCCTAGGGTGCGAGGGCTTCAGTAGTTGTGGCATGTGGGCTCGGTAGTTGCAGCTCCCAGGCTGCGGAGCAGACGCCCAATAACTGTGGCACATGGTCTTAGTCGCTCTGCAGCCTGTGGGATCTTACTGGATCAGAGTTCGCACTGTGTCCCCTGCATTGGCAGGCGGATTCTTTACCACTGAACCACCAGAGAAGCCCCACTCATCCCCTTCTTAACTGAGAAAACCCAAATGTCTTATTCGGTCACAAGATTATGTTCTAGGTCCACNCCCCATGTATTTGCCATGAAGTAATGAGACTGGAGGCCATGGTCTTAGTTTTTTGAATGATGAGTCTTAAGCCAGCTTTTTCGGTCTCCTCTTTCACCGTCAAGAGGCTTTTTAGTTCCTCTTTGCTTTTTGCCATTAGGGTGGTGTTATCTGCATATGAGGTTATTGATACTTCTTTCAGCAATATTGATTTCAGCTTGTGATTTATCCAGCCTGGCATTTCAAGCATGATGTACTCTGCATATAAGTTAAATAAATAGGATGACAGTATACACCCTTAACAGACTCCTTTCCCAATTTTGAACTAGTTCGTTGTTCGATGTTCAGTTCTAACTGTTGCTTCTTGACCTGCATACAGGTTTCTCAGGAGGCAGGTCAGGTGGTCTGGTATTGCTATCTCTTTTAGAATTTTGCACAGTTTGCTGTGATCCACACAGTCAAAGGCTTTAGTGTAGTCAATGAAACAGAAGCAGATTTTTTCTGGAATCCCCTTTCTTTTCTGTGGTCTGGTGGATGTTGGCCATTTGATCTGTGATTCCTCTGCCTTTTCTAAATCCAGCTTGTCTACCTGGAAGCTCTCAGCTCACATGCTGCTGAAGCCTGACTTGAAGGACTTTGAGCATAGCCCTGTTCACCTGTGAGATGAGCACAGTTACCGTGCGGCAGTCTGAGCGTTCTTCGGCATTGCCCTCTTGGGGACTGGAGTGAAAACTGACCTTTTCCAGTCCCGTAGCCGCTGCTGAGTTTTCCAAACTTGTTGGCATATTGAGTGCAGCACTTCAGCAGCAACATAGTTTAGGATTTTTTACTTTTCATAATTGGGTTCATTATATGAATGTCAAGCAGGCTCTTATAAATTTATGCCAGGGCTATCCTAGACATTGCATGACAGCCCTTCCCTGTATTAACCTGGCCCTCCCCACTCGGTCATTGTGATGACAAGAATACCACGAGAAACAATATTTTTATTTTCTAAGTGTTTTCACGAGAGAACTGCCACCCCTGTTGAAAGCTAATAGTTTCTAATGTTTATTTGTTCTATTCCTTTAGTCTGTTTTAGTTTGTTCTAGTGTCAGTTACTTTTCATATATTTAACATATAGTAGCCTAGCAGATAAACCAAACAGTTCAACATTTTGGCAATTTCTGCCCTTTACTATTATAATATGTTGTATTAATTATGTATTTCTTAATAAAAAATGTTATACTTGGATTTAACATTAATACACATCAGCTTTAGCAACTTTGAATGTAATGTAAATCCAGTGTATCACACTTCAAAATATTTAAATAAAATATTAATGGGGTAATAATTGTTACTTAAAAAGATTTTAATCAGTTCATTGGTACCAGGTATACTATATACATTTATATATATATATATATGTATATACACATATAAAGCTACTATTTATTACCAACACCTTAGGTAAAAAAAGAACACCTACTGTATTCCAGCCCGCTCCCTTGAGGGTGGGTTTTACCTACATTTTACCAAGAAGCTACAACTGAGAGTAATATATAGCAGAGGTAGGATTCAGAGCTTAGTCTGTTTTCTTTCACAGCTCAAATTTTTTATCTACTATACCTCTACTGCTGTTTTTAGGTACTTCTGAAAGGGTGGCTCAGTGGTAAAGAATCTGCCTGCAATGCAGGAAACCCAGGTTTGATTCCTGGGTCAGGAAGATACCCTGGAGAAGGGAATGGCAACCCACTCCAGTATTCTTGCTTGGAGAATCCCATGGACAGAGATGCCTGGTGAGCTACAGTCCATGGGGTCGCAAAGAATCAAACACAACTGAGCGACTAACCCTTTCACTTTCCTTGAAAGGTTTTTCATTGAATCCTCCCTGTGATTTAACAGAAGATTAAGGAACAACAGAGCACTTAAAATGTTATTTCATTGTCCAAAAAAAGTTTTTTACATAAAATTTTAAAGATCCAAGTTATATTAGTGAGTGGAAAAAAAAACGCCTTGGGTATAAGTTATATATTTAACTTTTCTCCACAAAAATTTTAATTCTGTAGGTACGAGCAAAAAAGAAGAAAAGCAGTGAAGAACGAGAAAAAACAACAGCAAGTATCACTTATGTTTTTACATGATAACAGTATAGCTATTTTGTTTAATGTAAACGTCATGATAAAACATGATTGCATTTACTAGAACTAAATATTTATTGAGAAAGATGTGGTGTTCAGCAGCTTCACTTAATGAGCTGGAGAAAGTTAAATTGGCTCAGAGTAAAAGGAAGCATATCCTGGTAGCATTTCAGTATTTCACTGTTAAAACTATAAGCTTAAACTTTTGTTTGACTTCCTTAAATGATACTAGGAAACATGAAACTAAAGTATGGTGATTCCCTCCATCTTCAAGAGTAGTTATTCCCAGATCTACCAAACTGATACTAACAGAAAAAAGCTCCTGAAGCACAAGCTTCAGTGAAAAATAAGCAGGAACATGACAGTATAAATGATTCAGTAATAAAGATGATTCTTGTCATTTCTGAAGCCATCTCTACTGCTGTGCAGGTTGAGAAGTTGGAAGACGAAAATAAGGAAAATGGACCTGGTACCCAATGAGAAGTAGACCAGCCTAGAGATAGTGTTTAACAAATTACCAAAGAGAAATGGAGGTCATACCACCAGAGTAATTTAGAAGTACTCACATAAGTGTGGGCTGTGGCCTTTGAAGGTGTTTTCTTAGGGAGAAGTAAAAGAAAAATGAACAGCATCATTTGTAGGTTTGACAGTAACTACCCCTCCTCAGAATGTCTTTTGCTCTTACAATGAGAGTCCTCTGAAAAGAAGGTTCACCTGATAATGTATGATTCATAACATTTGATACGCTCCAAGATCAAGGAAACATTTAAGAGACTTTTTTCCTGAGTGGGAAAATAATTTGGGTAAAGACTGCTTTCATCTTTGGTTAGATTATTAACACATAAAGTTAATTGATTTGGGATAATTGTAATTTGTATTTGCATATGTCAGTTCCATGTATTTAGTAAGCTTCTCTATGCAGGCATGGTTCTGTCTTGGTAGAGCTGTTAAAATGGAATTCAAGATAGATAAGAGGGTGATAAATGAGAGGCTGACTGAGGGAGGGAAGGCCTCTTTGAGGAAGTAAAATTCAGCTGAAATCTGATTCACAAAAAAGAGCCAACCAGTAGATGAAAGGAAGACTGTCCTAGACAAAGAGAAGAGTTCAGGACCTGTGGTGGGAGTGAGTTTGGTACATTTGAAGAAATGAAAAAAGGTCGGCTTGGCTCATTCGTAGAAGACAAAGAGGAAGAGCATACAGTGAGGTTGGAAAGTAAGCAGCGGCCCTGTCTCAGAGCACAGCGGGTTTTCATCAAAGCAAACAGGTGGCCTGAGTCAGCTTTACCTTTTTAAAACATTTGACAGAGGTGATGGGTAGACATAAATGAGAAAAACTGTTACTTGTATTGCAGTGATAGTGGTGGAGATGGACTGGCCTGGTAGATTCGAGGTATGTTTTGGACTTAGGTGGTAGGACTTGCCTGGTGCTTCAGGGGTGGAGGGTGGAGGTAGAAGAAGCTTAGATGGTTTGGCCTAACTAAAATGTGAATTAGTTAGTGGTGCCGTTCACTGAAATGGCTGAGAGAGGACCTTGAGAGAAAAATCAGGCCTTTTTAATGGTAGCTTTAGATATGCGTGGTAGAGCTGTTAATGAGGCACTCCCAGTCTTCAGAGCCCAGGACTGGATGTAGAGGTTGGTCTGTAAGTGGCATTTAAAGCCTGTGACTGGGAAAGCATGTGGAAAAGAAGGAAGCCCACAGAGGCTGAGCAGAGGAAGAACCAGCAAAGGAACTGGGGCCTTTGTGATAGAAGAGAAGCAGCAGAGAGGTGGCATGGAGCCAAGAAGAAACGTTTCTAAGAACAGAATGGCCAGCAGTCCTTTTATGAAAAGGGAACCTGTACCCAAAACTTACCTTTAGAAGCCCAAATATAAAAAATTTAAAAATTTTTTTAAAAAAGTCCAAATACAAGGTTTGGACTCTAGCAGTCCATGAATACTCGGACTTGTAATGAGAAGAACAATGGAAGTTGTTTTAAGAGCCATAAAGTAGTAAAGACCTTAGTGCGGGCAAGGGGTGGAAAGCTCTCCTAGATTAAGAGATTGGACTGGAAGCGTTGCCTTTGCCACCTCTGGGTGCCTCTTCCCCTTTTACTTTCTTCTCCTGAATATCAACACTAGTATATTACTTGATGCCCCATTTCCACATATCTGTTTCTAAAAGTCTGCCTTTCTCTTTTACATCAGAAAGTCAGGGTGTAGCAAAATTTTAGCTTCCTTTGTCTAGTCACAGTATCACTACTTTTACAATGGCCTTTTCCTCTAAAAATCAAGCGCTAAATAGACTTTTCAACTTTGCATCAGTATTTTGTACCAGTTAGTTGTTAAGTTAATGAAGTAGTCCTACCAGCCTAAGCAGTACATAATATCTGTTCCTATTTACTTAAAAATAGGTTTAGTGTATTTTTCCTTTGAATGCTACCATTTTACAATTGTTTTACTACGATGTGACGTTTCCTTTGCAGTAACTGTAATTATTGCAGCCTTAAAAATTAGATAACAAAAAGAAAAGAAGTGAAAACAAAAATCAAGTGAAATTAATTCCCAAAAGAAAAGGTGGTAAGAAGCTACAATAATGTGCTACTGACATAGAGTTTTTCCTTATCTTTTGAAAATTGACAAGTACTTTCTTAGTCCTCATACAGTATTATTGAGACTTTTTGAGAAATGTTTTGAGTAACTTACTTGTTTGTGTGGATTGTTTGAAATGACTATATAGTAACTTAGAAGGACTGTAGTGAAGTTGTTTTTAATTTGCAGATTTTCATGTAGCTGTATCTAACACGGAACTATCTTTTCAGGAAAAGACAAAAAAGAAAAAGAAGCATAAGAAACACAGTAAGAAGAAGAAAAAGAAGGCTGCTAGTTCAAGTCCTGACTCACCATAACATTAAGAAGAATCAGGATTCACTTATAAAGAAAGTGCAATGTCTAAGGAAATTTCAACTGTGAAAATTATGACATATTTACTAAAATGCATGAATTTTCTTGTTTTTAAATTATTCCTGGACTATCAGTAGCCACTCAGATGCCACTGTGTGAAAGGGCCATAATTGTTGCCTGCTGCTTGAACATCTATTTTTTTTCCCTCTTCCAGTAACTCTGGGAGGTAATACACTGCAGTCATACTAGTGGTTTAAGATATTTGGGAATAAAGTTAATATTTTGACTAGAAGTATCTAATGATAAATCAACAAAAACTGAATCTGTATACATCATTAAGATGTAATCAGAAATGACCAGATGACTCTAGTTAACTTTTTTTGAAGTAGGGATTATGTTGATATTTCAAAATCCTTACTCTTGTAGATAAGTGTATTTTAAATTTTCCCCCTTTTTATTTACCTGGGGAAGGAGCTTTTAGGGGTGGGGGTGGTTTGCTATCACTTTAGCTAGCAGAATAGCGTGCCTTTATCCTCACACGTCTTATTTTTGTGGACACAGCAGCCATGCCTCGTGGGGAGGTCAGAGCCAGGTATGGCGGCCCTGCCCTTCATTGAGCTCAGTCACCTCGGACTCTGCCCCGTGCTGCTTTGAGCGAACCAGAGGAATAGCCTTTTGCAGCATGAGAATGCCCCAGAAGCTCTGGGGTTTACCTCCACTTCGATAATACTGAATGTTTTTTAGCGTTAGAATGTGTTATAACATTTGAACTAATTTTGACTACACTTTGGCTTTGAAAAGGAATCATTTCAGATAGACACTGGTACTTTTTGAACTTGATAGCTAAAGATTCTGAAATGCATGTTTTATACTGTTAAGTTTTAACCAGTCAGGAAAATTTTATGTAACCAGTGATAGTTCTTTTATTTTTTGTATGAATTTTGTTTAGGCTGTAATGTTTAGCTTTTTATTAACTCCTTATTCTTGCTATCTTAAATTCCTTACTGTGTTTAACAGCATACTTGCCAAGCTATTTAGCATGTAAAAAGCAGGTTTTTGATTTTTTTTTTTTTTTTTTTTAAACAGCTTCATATTGAAGCTGAGACTTACCATAAATAAGTTGAGTGGCAGGCCTGGTATGCTGTGTCTTGTTACATAAAACTATTGCCAGAATCTTAGTAAATATAACGTTTTAAAAGTTTGTCTTTGTACATTCACAACAAATTATGATGAGTTAAATTTAAGTGAGAATTACATTATTGCTTTTCCTGTGTCATATTTTACTAAGATTTTGTGCCTCATATCTCCTGCTGAACTGTTTACTAGTAATGTTAAAGAGAATTGATAAATCATTTTCACTTTACATTTTTATATAATCAGGTAACATGAAATATAATTTGATGTACAATTTTGCCTGTTACAGAGGGTGTGCTAATTATAGTGGCATATGCACAAAACATTTTGGCATGACAAGAAGCTGAATAAATAGCTATTTTATGTAAAAATAGCTGTCTTCTTATAAGCTCCCTTTGAGTCACAAGTTATAAACATTAAGAAACACTGTTAATTATGAAATGGTAGATGGATAAGACATGTCCCCAAATTTTTAGCAAATTTCCCTAAATTTTATGCTTGAATTTTCATAATCTTTCCTCTTTAAAGAAATCTACAAGGTTTTGAGTACACAGCAAGTTGGGGAGACATTTTTTATCCTAAAAGAAGTTTCTCAGAATTGTTCATGAAATGCTGAAGGATAGGACAGACTTATCGGGTTACTTGTTCATCAGATTTGCTTTGAACATAAAAATTTACCTTTACAGACTGGTCCTGTATAGGATGTTATGTCCCACTAAAAGCAGCAGTTCATCTCTTTCTCCCTCCACCAAACTCGTTTTTCTTAAATAATTGTATACTAATTTTATAAACATAAAACATGTTATTTGGATAATGATGCCAAGGTAACTGCAACAAAATTGATGAGTGTCTGGGTTGAGAAATTGAATTTATACCTGGTGCTACCTTTTTCTGATTGTTTTGAATTCCTTTGGTTGCCCTTAGTATATTTAGGTGTTTAAAATACCCTAAGATTATTCTGAACTTATTTTATCCAGAGTATGGATTCATATTCCTCCAGTCAAGATGTGCTAAGAGTCTAATTTTCTTTTAATTTCATGGAGAACAATTGACTAGCCACTAAGAACAGTTATTAAAACTTGCCAGTTTTCAACTTAAAATCAGTGAACATTTGGCATTTCCTTAAGAAAAGTTTTGGGAGTTTTGTTCTTTCCCAGTTGTATTTGCCTAATTTGTTTTTATATGTTATTTAAAATTTAGTAAGAATACATTGTTCTAGATTCTGAAAGTCATTTTAGTACTTTTTTTTCCCTTGCTTTAACACAGTGAAGAACAGCAGACATACACAAGAAGATGTTTGTTCTTTATACCAGGATTTGACAGTAGATATGAGAACAGTTACCATCTTGGCCAGCTTTGACATAATCATACTATGTTTTCCTACTAGTCAGTCAGATAAGTTGGAGGGGTAAATGTGAGGATTTTATGTTTCTCTAAAGTTCTCAGATTGAGGCCTCTCTTTGCTTATCATGAGAAGGTACTTGGTTAGAGTTTTCAGAGGAAGTTATATATAACCTTTGAAGGAGCTTTTTATAGCCTAGGAAGTTATTTTTATTTCTACTTAAAGATGAGGTCTTTATTGTTATTATGTGTTCATCCATAAACATTTTCAACTGTAGAGTTTGTTCTCGGGAAATATAAGTGGTGATACTCTTAGATACCACTTTAATTTTAGATACCTTAATTTAGGTACCACTTTAGATTTACATTTTGTGGTGGTGAACCACGAAAACCAAAGTTGGATTAGCTGTAATATTTCAGATCACAGTAACGTTAATGAAATCACTGCATTTTTACTGAGGAGTAACAGCCATTATTGCGTATTTTTCCAATTACTTGAGAACCTTCTGTGTTTGGTTACTGGGGTGTTGCCATGGTCGCGTTCTGTGTTGCTGTGGAGTGGTGAGTTGTGGAATCAGTGGCGACCCAGGACGCCCAGGCTTGGAGGTAGGCTGTCTGAGAAGTCTTCACTGTTGTGAAGCCACACTTGACATGGACCAGAAGGTTCTGAAGAGACTGGTGGAATCCATCAGTAAGAGTGTCAACAGCTGTAAGTACTGACCAGATACCTAGCGCTGCCTGAACATCTTCCGTCAAATAAAACCATTGGGTAGTTGGCCAAGAACAAGTGCTTTGTAACCCCAAAGTAGAGTTCTCCTATTTTCTATCTAATATTTTGGTCATTTTAAATATATAGGTAGTAAGTGAATGATAATCCCTGCACTTACACACAAAATATTTCAGTCATCAGGTGTCCTAAAATACATTAGGTGTGTAGGAAGACTAGCTTGAGAATTTATGTGACAGTGAAATGCTAAAGGGCTATGTGCCTACAGAGTTCTGATTTTGTTATAGTCTGAAGTTTAATAAGAGATCTCAAAGTATAAAGGTTCACTTTGACAGCCCTCCTGAGTTCTCTGGCACAAAAGCATAGCAGCAGATGACTGCTGTACTTCACGAGATTGATAGAGATGCATAAGGCAGTTTAGATGTTAAAGAAATACCTTGTTGCTTTTGCACATGGCAAGTGTTTATTAAAAACTAACATTCTTTTTAGGATTCCTTGCCCTGCCAGATTTTAAAAAAGTAATCTTGTGAATTTTTGTTTCTGAAGCCTGACCACAAGCAATCCTGACTGATTTCTAAGAATTTGTTTCTAGACTTTGAGGAACTGCTTTTATTTCAGCCAGCTTTACAGCCTCATTATTGGACACTTCCATTTTTCTTTGTGTGACCGTGGCAGGATAGTCACTACCTTGTTTAAGCATCTCATTGTGGATATAATTCAGTTTTCTCTTTTCTTAATTGGATTTTAAATGATCTAAGCTCCTCAAGCACTCCTGGGCCCTGTTTTAGTCCTATTGTCCTACTACCCTTAAATCCATTCAGCAGATTTACCTAGTGTTGAATGTAGTAAGAAATGCCTGCTGTTAACAGCCCAAGTTTTAGAACACTCAAAAGGAAATTGTGCTTGCTTGGCAAACCTGACTCCTCTCCCTTCCTGATGAGACTGTTCTTAGTGGCGTCTGCTACCCGTACGTGTGTTTACAATCATTCTTTGTTACTCATATTTGAAAGCGATTCTCTGAAATAGTAGATACGAGTATGTAAAACTTAATGAGAAAAAAAAAATAAATGGGACCCATATCCCATATAGTCTTCTACAAAGAAGATATAGCTGTTTAGAAAAAAGGAAGTTGCATTCCTTCCTTATTCCAAAGTTTTTGACACTTAATAATTCTTAAGTTACTGTTAACAGTTCAGACCCTAAATACTTGAACAGCTAAGTGACCAGGATAACCAGATTATTAACAGCTGATGTTGTTGATCTCTTCATTGGCAGGATACTGCAAAATGGTTTATGTCTGTTGTCTTCTCTTGAAACCCATTGAGGTAGGTGATGTCATCCATGTTCTTAGGTGAGGAAACTGCATCTTAGTTTAATTGTTTGTGTCAAGTTACCCAGTTAGTGGGCTGAGCTAGTCTGATGTACACTCAAATAATCCTAATTTTTTCAAATTAATCGGCATTATAGTCCCTGATGGTCATTCTGTACTGTTGTACCATAGTAAGGGCACAGTGAAAAGTTGTTGAAATCAGTTCTCGTTCTTGAGTCCTTGCAGTTGAGACCAGGAGTAGACAATGTGCTCTCATGACTAGAATTTGGTTGATGATGGATAGGGGTGGGAAGGACTAATAAGCTGTTGCTGCTTTGGCCATCCCAAGAACTGACTGTCTTTATTTCTCTTGGTGTTCTAATTGTGTGATGGAAAGTTGAAGTGATTTTTCCTGGGCTTTGCTTTAGAGCGTCTTAGGAGGGAGCCTTCATAATTTGCTAGGCCCCTCACATGCCACATGGCCATCCAGTCCAAGCCATGATCATTGTGTGACTGCTCAGATTGTCAGCTGGTCACCTCAGTGACCTCCCAAAGGAAATTCACTCCCTTGCTAAACAGCTGTTTCCTCTTTTTTTTTCCCCAACAGATCTAGAACGTTTTCTATTCCAGAGCTAATATGACTTCTGTCTTCATTTACACTGCTCTCTAGAGCTACATGGTTCATTATAGTGACCACTAGCTTCATGTGGCTATTTAAATAAAATATGTGGAACTTAAAATCCGGTTTTGGTCACACGAGCCACTTTTCAGGGTTTAATACCAACAATTGGGTTGCGGCTACCAAATTGAACAGCACAGATATAGAACATTTCCATCATCTCAGAAAGTTCTATTAGACATTGCTGCTCTAGAGTCATGCAAAGAAATTATTCCCTTTTCCAAATAATGGCCCTTTAATCTGATGGGAGAGGCAGATAATTACTTCATGGTATATAGTAAATGGCTTCATGGGTGTGTAACCTGTGTGTTCTTAAAGGGCCCCATGCTACGTTTAAGGCTCTGCTAACACTGCCTTAAATAATTTTTTATTTTTTTATTCTTGCTTGTATTTATTTATTTGGCTTGCCAGGTCTTAGTTGTGGCATGCCAGGTCTTCGATCTTTCTTGCAGCATGCAGGATCTAGTTCCCTGACCAGGGATCTGACAAGGGCCCCTTGCATTGGGTGCACAGAGTCTTAACCATTGGACCACCAGATCCAGTCCCAAAATGTATTTTAAATTAGAGACCTGTATTTTCATTTTGCATTGGGCCCACAAATTCTGTAGTTAACAGTGACCGTGACCTCTTGCTTGTAGCATGGTAGGAGTAGCTCCCCCATCAGAATCACCTAAAGGTTTGTATTGAAAATGTGTAGATCCCTGAGTACCACCCTTAGTGTATTTTAAAAAATCTCTTGTCAGTGGTGCCAAGCCTCCAGATTGTTCACTTCATGTATTCTTAGACAGTATAAAGTTTGAGGAGCCTGATCTGAATTGTCTTTTCCACTTTACACTTCAATTCTGTAGCCTAATGTCAATCCCAGTTTGACAGTGAGTTGGGAATTGACCCAGTCTTTTTCACACAGATTGTCATTTTTATACTTATGTACATTAGCAAACTTTTTTAAAGTGAAGAATTGTAAAATTATTCTTAGTAGTGTCATGTGGTTTCATTCAACTGATCATTTTGGCATCTCAGACCTACTCTGGATCTTGACTCTCATCCAGCATATTCCTTAACTTCTCCCATTTACAAGTGATTGATGGTCATTTATTTAGCAAACATGTATTGAGAGATTACCATTGTCCTAAGCTCTACTGGTTACTGAATAGATATTAACATAAAAGTAAGAGATTTTGCTAAAATCCCAAGTATTTAGTGAACAAATGTTCCCTGATCCACTCCTACCAGATGGAGGAAATAGTTAAATGTTGTATGATTTGACTTTGTAAACTCATGAGCCTGTCTTTTCTGAGCACTCAGGAGTTTTTAA